AGCCTCCATTTTTGCACTCAGGTCTAAGTCTCATGGCCCTCTATCAGAATCCAGAGTTTTGGGAAGATTGGAGAAACTTAATTTTTCGCCCAAAAAAAAAACGTAAGGGGTACCACTGTCGTTTTTTTTTTCGGGCCGAATTTTTGAGTTTCGATATCTCAGCTCTGGAAGGGGCTAGAGCCTCCATTTTTGCACTCAGGTCTAAGTCTCATGGCCCTCTATCAGAATCCAGAGTTTTGGGAAGATTGGAGAAACTTAATTTTTCGCCCAAAAAAAAAAAACGTAAGGGGTACCACTGTCGTTTTTTTTTTCGGGCCGAATTTTTGAGTTTCGATATCTCAGCTCTGGAAGGGGCTAGAGCCTCCATTTTTGCACTCAGGTCTAAGTCTCATGGCCCTCTATCAGAATCCAGAGTTTTGGGAAGATTGGAGAAACTTAATTTTTCGCCCAAAAAAAAAAAAACGTAAGGGGTACCACTGTCGTTTTTTTTTTCGGGCCGAATTTTTGAGTTTCGATATCTCAGCTCTGGAAGGGGCTAGAGCCTCCATTTTTGCACTCAGGTCTAAGTCTCATGGCCCTCTATCAGAATCCAGAGTTTTGGGAAGATTGGAGAAACTTAATTTTTCGCCCAAAAAAAAAAACGTAAGGGGTACCACTGTCGTTTTTTTTTTCGGGCCGAATTTTTGAGTTTCGATATCTCAGCTCTGGAAGGGGCTAGAGCCTCCATTTTTGCACTCAGGTCTAAGTCTCATGGCCCTCTATCAGAATCCAGAGTTTTGGGAAGATTGGAGAAACTTAATTTTTCGCCCAAAAAAAAAAAACGTAAGGGGTACCACTGTCGTTTTTTTTTTTCGGGCCGAATTTTTGAGTTTCGATATCTCAGCTCTGGAAGGGGCTAGAGCCTCCATTTTTGCACTCAGGTCTAAGTCTCATGGCCCTCTATCAGAATCCAGAGTTTTGGGAAGATTGGAGAAACTTAATTTTTCGCCCAAAAAAAAAAACGTAAGGGGTACCACTGTCGTTTTTTTTTCGGGCCGAATTTTTGAGTTTCGATATCTCAGCTCTGGAAGGGGCTAGAGCCTCCATTTTTGCACTCAGGTCTAAGTCTCATGGCCCTCTATCAGAATCCAGAGTTTTGGGAAGATTGGAGAAACTTAATTTTTCGCCCAAAAAAAAAAAAAACGTAAGGGGTACCACTGTCGTTTTTTTTTTTCGGGCCGAATTTTTGAGTTTCGATATCTCAGCTCTGGAAGGGGCTAGAGCCTCCATTTTTGCACTCAGGTCTAAGTCTCATGGCCCTCTATCAGAATCCAGAGTTTTGGGAAGATTGGAGAAACTTAATTTTTCGCCCCAAAAAAAAAAACGTAAGGGGTACCACTGTCGTTTTTTTTTTCGGGCCGAATTTTTGAGTTTCGATATCTCAGCTCTGGAAGGGGCTAGAGCCTCCATTTTTGCACTCAGGTCTAAGTCTCATGGCCCTCTATCAGAATCCAGAGTTTTGGGAAGATTGGAGAAACTTAATTTTTCGCCCAAAAAAAAAAACGTAAGGGGTACCACTGTCGTTTTTTTTTCGGGCCGAATTTTTGAGTTTCGATATCTCAGCTCTGGAAGGGGCTAGAGCCTCCATTTTTGCACTCAGGTCTAAGTCTCATGGCCCTCTATCAGAATCCAGAGTTTTGGGAAGATTGGAGAAACTTAATTTTTCGCCCCAAAAAAAAAAACGTAAGGGGTACCACTGTCGTTTTTTTTTTCGGGCCGAATTTTTGAGTTTCGATATCTCAGCTCTGGAAGGGGCTAGAGCCTCCATTTTTGCACTCAGGTCTAAGTCTCATGGCCCTCTATCAGAATCCAGAGTTTTGGGAAGATTGGAGAAACTTAATTTTTCGCCCCCCCCAAAAAATGAAAGGGGTACCACTGTCGTTTTTTTTTTCGGGTCGAATTTTTGAGTTTCGATATCTCAGCTCTGGAAAGGGGCTAGAGCCTCCATTTTTGCACTCAGGTCTAAGTCTCATGGCCCTCTATCAGAATCCAGAGTTTTGGGAAGATTGGAGAAACTTAATTTTTCGCCCCAAAAAAAAAAAAAAAACGAAAGGGGTACCACTGTCGTTTTTTTTTTCGGGTCGAATTTTTGAGTTTCGATATCTCAGCTCTGGAAGGGTCTAGATTCTAAGATTCTACGGAATCTTAACAGTGTTTAAGTGTTTTGTTTTGTTTTTTTTTTGGAAGACAGCACGCTTCTGAAACCGACTCGGCACGCTGACTTTCAACCGTGCCGTCTTCAGTGGTTCAGTGGTAGCAGAGTCTAAACGCAACAAGAAGGTGGAATAGAACCTGTATCCACTTGCTTCAGAGCCGGTACCGCTACCACTGCGCCACTGAAGACGACACGGTTCTGACAGTCTCCAGCGATATGTTATGCCCTTAATATTACATGACTAACTAAATGTATTTTTTCCATGTACTTTTCTGATATGCACTTTCTGTAAAGCTGCTTTGAAAGCTGATCTGAGCCTGGGTCTGTGTTGTATTACTTTCATGTTATCAGTGTAAAGCTGCTTTGATACAATTTGTAGCATACAAATCTATATCTACAATAATATCTATAAAAATATCTACATCTATAATAAAATCTACAATATCTACGTCTATAATACAATCTACAATATCTACATCTATAATAGAGTGTCAGTTTCTATAATAAAATCTACAATATCTACATCTATAATACCTTCTACAATACCATTTACAATATCTACCTCTATAATAAAATCTACATCTATAACACAATCTACAATATCTACATCTATAAAAATATCTACATCTATAACAAGATGTCTATTCGACCCGAAATATATTTGCTTGAAGTCACCCTGAAATTTTAAGAAGCTCATAAATAAATAATTTAACATTAGCATGTTCATCTTTTTCTGATGTCGTATAATGCAAGTAAAGAAAGCATTGCATCATTATTAAGTGTTTTGGGAAAAGTGTTCTGGTTTGGGAAACCCTAACATCAGGTCATAGGACAAAATTTGATATAATATGGTATTATCTTCAATTATTCAAATCCATTTTTGCCCCTGTACTCCTGTCGAAATTTTGAGTTTCTCTGATCTTCTTGAAACTCTGGATTCTGATAGAGGGCCATGAGACTTAGATTTGAGTGCAAAAATGGAGTCTCTTGACCCTTCCAGAGCTGAGATATTGAGATATTTATAATGGCATAAATGCTACGTGGGATCTCAATGTCTCAGCTCTGGATGGGTCTAGAAACTCCATTTTTGCACTCAGGTCTAAGTCCCAAGGCCATCTATCAGAATCCAGAGTTTCAAGAAGATCAGAGCAACTCAAAATTTCTACCCGAAAAAAAAAAAAAACGACAGTGGTACCCCTTTCGTTTTTTTTTTTTTGTTTGTTTTTTTGGTGCGAAAAAATAAGTTTCTCCGATCTTCTTGAAACTCTGGATTCTGATAGAGGGCCATGGGACTTAGACCTAAGTGCCAAAATGGAGGCTCTAGACCCTTCCAGAGCTTAGATATTGAGATCCCACGTAGCATTTATGCTATTTTAAAAATAGTGGGTTCACGGACAGTGGAATTTTGGGACGTTGCTTGGTGCTAGCCCCAGCTTGGTGCTGCCCCAGGGGACCTGCTGAGTGCAGTAAAATAGTTTTTATCACGACAGGAACTTTAATTAAAATGTCATCAAATATACTACCCGAAACCCCATTCAATAGATTACAGGCGAGATGGTGTCCAACATAAAAATGGTATGAAACTCATACAGGTTTGGAACAACATGAGGGTGAGTAAGTGATGACAAATATAATTTGTGGTTGAACTATACCTTTAAAGGCATAGTTCACCCAAAAATGTAAATTAGCCCATGATTTAATCACCCTGGCCTCTAGCCATCCTTGGTGTATATGACATTCTTCTCTCAGACGAAAACAATCAGAGTTATGTTAAACAATGTCCTGGCCCTTCCAAGCTTTATATTGGCTGTAAATGGTTTTCTGTTTTGAAAGTCCATAAAAGTGCATCTATCCATGATAAAAGTGCATCTATCCATCATAAAAGTGCATCTATGCATAAAAAATATATATTAGTATGAAATATTTAAAATATTCATATTTAAGTCAAATCCATTTGTTCTTTTGGCCGGAAGTTATTTTACTTTATAAAGTTTTAAATATGGATATTTTTCTTACATCTCCATCTTCCTCATTACTCCACATAAAGTCAACATCTGAGATATTTTCATCAGCTATATGTTCAAGCACTTCAGAACTGTATATTCTGCACATGAAAAAGTTTCAAAAATGTATCGGTACTTTGATATATATATATATATATATATATATATATATATATTTATAAAAGAAATTTCAATCAGCATCACTGAAAATGAGACATTTCAGTAAGGCTTTCAAACCTACTGTCCATTCTAATGGACAGACACATTTAAAAAAAATCCTGATTTAAAACGTGCAATTCTACAGTCGATTTTTAACTTTAATTAATAAATTCAATCTTTCTATTTTACATACAAACTATGAAATACTGGCAAAAATATATACAAAATGTAAATACACCTTAGAAAATGTTGCTTCCTTCTATGTTTGGAGTGAAGTGCTACCATGCTTCTCTTCAATGTAGAGTTTCTTTTAATAAAATTACTACATGCAGAGCTTTGCTGGCATTTGATTGGATGACAAACATCCAATCTCATGAACTGCAGGCTTTAAACTAGGTGAAATGCTCGAGAAGTTAAAAAAAGGGGGCTGACATGACATGTAATGTCCATTGTAATGGACACAGGGTCTGAATGGGTTAAGTTGTACATTAAACAGTAAGTATATTAAACCATCAGCCAATCATTATACTATTTCTTGCAAAGCTGCAAAACAACCCCAGGGTCTTGAAACATCCTAATTAATTTAGTAGCTTCATCGCAAGACGTTCTGAAAGTTTATTTGAACAAAACAGCAGAGTCGCTGCTAAAAAACATGGCTTTTTAATCAATAATTATGCCGTGTGACCTCCTTTTTGAACAACAACAGAAAAACATTTTTCCTCTAGCACAATGCATAGTAAAACGTAGTAATATTTAGTGGAGCATATTTTGTTAATGATAGCTACAACTGAGACAAATATTCCTTTCTCGTGGACAAACTGTAAACTTTATTGCTTCAAATATTCCTTAGAATTTGGCAAAAATATAACACTTGGCATATATTGAATAAAATCCAACATCTGTGTTTGGTGCAAGATAAACTGAGGATATGAGCATCATTTAAAAACAGCTATATGATTTTTTTTTTAATCTGCTTATGGCAGGAATCTATAAGGAATCATTTAAAAGACATGATTTTAAGTCATAAAAAATTTGCTTTTTTTCAAAACCCTGAATATGAACAGTCTGATGCTATTTTCAAACATTTGCCCATTTTGTTATTTTCTTTAAATCATAAATGAGCGATTTGCGCTTGGTTTTGCCTCCAGGATGCCAAGAACAAACAGGAGCCGCTACAACAGAGCTAGCCTCTTTCAAGCTGTGAAATAGTAAGTAACAGCAGAATATAAATAGGTTTTCAAGGATTTAAAGACCGAGAGGACATCAGACCTCATTAGGTAGCCATGGCGAGTGAGTTTAGTGCTCCAAAACAACAGATAGTGGAGAGACTCATCGTCGCCTGATGGATCTCGTCACATCGCAGAGGAGGGGGTAATCAACCCTAATGTACTTACTCGCATAACCTCACTTGCCCTCTAAGATGTGCGATCCCCCTCAAAACTGCATTAAGTCATATTTATTCACTCTCTGCTTTATTTGTGAGGGAGAACGATTTTTCACAAACAGGACAGAGCCACAATTTTTGAAATAAATAGTTCATTGATAATGAAAAGCTGAACTTTTTCAAGAAAGCTACTCAAGTCCTTTGTAATTAAATACGTACGAATGTAGCAGATGAGGGCAAATTAGTCTCCCAGTCATTAAACTTTGTACGTTAGCAGCATAATTAGCTCAAAATGTATGTGGTATTTACTTCCATGAACACTCATTGGGAAACTGTTGATTCGTTTAATTGTCCCAATGCTAAATTAAGACGATGAAATAATCTCTGTTGTGGGATAGCGAAGAAAAAAAAAAACACACATATGGTCACACACACATACACAACGTTCAAAATCAAGGCCTTTCAGTTCATTTGACATCGTTTCATGTCGTCTTATGTTAACATGTTCCTTTGGTCTGAAGGAATAAGACAAAGACGTGGACAGAAGTTCTCATTTTGAAACCGGTTTGGGACTCTTGAGCCTTCAAATACATCTTTATTTTTCTATAACAACTCTAATATTGCGTATTATAAGTTAAGTATCTAATGTCTAGCCGGTTCATGTTGAGAAGAGGGGGTTAGCTCCTACATTGTGATCAGAAGCAAACTAAGTCCCTGTATTCAGACACGTGCCAGTTTGCATTATTTGTACTACAGTACATAAAAGGGAGTGGGTACATCTTTGTGAGCAGCTACAATAAAGAAAAACATTTCAAAGAGGCAAATTGTGAGGGTGGAAGCTACATTGATGTTTATATCATAGGTACAATGGAAATGTCCCGGTCGTGGTAAAAATGATACAGTCATTTTCATTTAATGCTATCAAGTCTTGAGGGTTTGTTTTCCCTTGTAACCAGTCGCACCACATACATTCTGTGAGTAAAATCCAAAGGTGTGACAAGGGATCGGGAAACGTTCTTGGTTAAGGTGAGTCCACACATTCCTGACCCAGGCAGAGCCTGCCAACACTATCGTGGTCACAAATTTGATGATAATCTAGATCTGATGTGATGTTGTTCAGTTTCTGGTAGACTGGTTATTGAATCCTTCTTGGGCAGTCCTGAATCCAAACTGGGTCTCATCTGGGGGAGAGAGGCAGGAGAAAATGCACCTACAGACATTTGGTGGGGTAGTGCCATTCTTGGCGGAAAACTTCCTCTAATACCAGCAGGGCCGGGGAGGTTCTGGGGGGGACCGATTGAAGTGGAAGAGACTCTGGTGGACTGGGAAGGGCTTGGGGCAACTGGCTGTACCATATCATGGGGTAAGGATGGCTGGGAGGCGGATAGGGCACGGGCATCTTGGCTTAAAGCGCACCTGGGAACCAGTGGTCGATGTGTGGGACTGGGGACATGTTGTTGTACAAGGGATAACTGGGAGCCTGAGGGTGCACCTGGGGGGCTGGAACCATACTGGAATGTTCGACCGGTAGTTGCCAGAGGGCTATGGACCGGTGTGCCTGCAAGGGCAGAGGCAAGGGCTAAGGTGGAGTACTGGGAGCCTGGGGGTGTCTGGCTCTGGACCACCTGGAAGCGCCGCACCATGCGAGGTGACTGGACAGCCCCAGAACCCACTAGAGTGTTGCCCATCTGGGGACAGAAGCTCATGGCAACAGCTTGCTGGAGGGTAGCAATGGCAGAACTTGTTGAGGGCTGACTAGAAGGTGCAAACATGCTCCCTTGAGTTGAAGGAGCCATGGACATGGACATGGCCCTGGGCCTCTGCATGTCTCCTTGTTTAACTAGTTGAACCATTTCTCGATCGTACTTCACAATCTCCTGGATCATCTCGTTCTCACGGTTGTTGAAGACGCCAGTGTTAAGATCGTGCTGTACTTTGTGCATCAGGATGGAGTTCTTCTTGCCTGAAAGGTGCAGATTATGGTCAGATATGGCTTTGTTGACACATCTTTAATCAACAGCTATATCTGTAACTAGCAAACAATACTGCTGTTACAGACGTCTAATGATAGTATCAACTACCTAAATGTTGCATTTATATTACAGTGAACCCATTGTACTCTGTGCCTTTGGTAAGAGTCAGACACAGAGTAACAAAGGCTTAATCTGACATCCTACACCAAGGGCCCTATCTTGCACCCGGCGCAAATGACTTTGTACACTGACACATTTATCATTCCTATTTTGCACCCGCGCAAAGTGGACTTTTCCCTTCGCAGATGTACATTTTGTTTGGGTTTGTCCCATCCCCAATGTCACTTCTCTTTCTTTTACGGCTCTGACAAGAACATCGATTTCATCGCTGTGAACCGATTGTGAAGCGCCTGGTAAATGCGCCGTTAAAATAGAATTTCGCCATGGAACAAGCGCACCTCGTTCATCATGCTCTTAAAGGGAATGTGATATGATGCTCTTATTGGTTTGTTTCCGTTACGCCCAAACCACACCAATGAATAATGAAGCTACTTCAGGCCAACCCCTTTTAAACTTGCGTCTGGCGCAAGTGTCATCTATCCCGCCTGGTAAAATAGCAACAGCGCCCAAGACCCGCCCACAAAGTTACTTGCGCTTCGCGCTTGATACTTGCATTTCAGATCGTTAAAAAGTGATTATATGGTGCTGAAGGGTCATTGAAATCACATTTGGTTGACTTGCACAATGGGAAAAAGGAAGGAAAAGTGTCCCACCATGAGAGCATATCTTATGTACATGGCCTTTGAGAAACGCGTCCCTTCGGGTTGAGGTAAACTCCAAACTAGCCAAATTATAGTTTTTGAAAACATGCAATTTTGCACACCTCTACTATTGTCTTTTGGTCTGACTGTTGACACAACTTGTTTAGATGGATGTTTGTACTTAGTGGATTCCTGTTGGGGTTTTTATTTCTGATATCTGCTTTTTCAGACTGATGGGTCATCTAGTTGCCTGTGAACAGCAAGGCCCAGAGCCCTGCTGAGATTTCCAGTGAGAGGGAAGCTATAATGTCTGGCACTAGTGTCATTGTGCTGAGTCACAGCACCGCTAACACTAACTCGCGACATGGCGCGTGCCTATCACCTGCACCCTGCTGCTAGCAAGACAATTTGCAGCTAAAATGACATCCTTCGCACAGCTCCTGCTGGCAGGGCCCCAACATCGCCTTCAATTTCTCTCATCTCCGTCTCCAGAAGCACATACAAATAACACTTATATCCATCACTCGTGGTTTGAGCATGCTATTTCACCAAGCTGTCTCCCAAATCCACAGCTACATAGTTCATATCACACGATGTGCAGCATATATTAATAGCATTCATCATGTACACCTTGTTTTAGATGTCTGTTGAATTCGATTTAAAAGTAAAAAAGATTTACATTGCTATTGTTTGCGTTTTAAAGTACATGTGCAAAAAAAAAAAAAAAAAAAAAAAAAACGTGGAAATACTCCAAGCACAAACCTTATTTCACTCAGAATTAATTACATAAATTACAAAGGGAGCCCATGGCGAATTAGCCTTCCAGTTAGGCCTAAAAATTGACATAATAACTGAATCTCTCTTTTCCCATAGTAAATAAAAAACTGTCATTTTTGACGTTCGTAAATTTTAACAGCTAACATTGACGGTAAGTAGGACATTTACTGCGAAATTGTGGTAGCGGACGTTCTTCGGCAAAGTGTCTTTTCCCAAACTCCCCTGCATGAGCTGAACTGATCATTTATGGAATCTGGTTGCCATGGCAACAGCAGCGTGTGGGGTGGTTGCATGGCCCATGTGTAAACAACTAAGGTGGTCATGTGACAGGGAGTGACATCAGCAGCACACTGACCTTGGGAGATAAGGAAAGAGGATGCTGAGAGGGGTGAGGAGGGCAGGTGGCCTGCTTATCTTGGCAAATTACGTGTTTATGTGCCGAGGACACAAGCCAAAAACGGCAAAACAACCGTGTTGAAGACAAACCAATTTTGGAGCTCACTAGAATTCGAGCACAGATGTGATCAATGTTTGTCCAAACAAATGGACTCCTGGGCTGTGTACCCGTAATGCTTCTAAATATACCATCACAAATTGTGCTGAGTGTGTACTGTAGTATTACCGTGGTTCTTTATTGTAAGCATAATGCGTTTTGTTTATGCAACCAATTTTACCTTCTAGGCAACTTACCTATCCGATCAAGGCGGTCGATGGCTACGGTCTCGAACGCTCTCCTCATCATTGGGTACTCCTCCAGTACTTCATTGAAGTTGTCCACGGAGAGCGAGTAGAGTCGGCAGTAGGTGTCCGCCCGCACGCTGGCGGTTCGTCTTCCACGGGTCAACAGGCAGATCTCTGAGAATCAACAGGACATATTATGGTTGTGGTTCCAGAATAATCTGCATCTTAATCGCTCCTAATTGTTTTTAGATGCGTCTTTTAGCACTTGTCACGTCCTGATTTCGCAGTTTTGCAGAGTCAACATATTTTGTTGATCCTGGAACAACATTCTTGTCTGAAAATTTTGTCCTAAACCCTACCCATAAGGTGAAGAACACTGATGTAGAAGCACCTAACCCTAGTTGTAAGCCTAAACTTGACACAACTGTAAACTTGTCCCTCAATTCTGATTGGTTGATTGGAATGTTGTTCCAGGATCAACAAAGATGATGATCCAGGAGGCAGGAACGTTCCACCTGGTGAAATCGGATTATGTGCTGGTTGTACCTGATGTAATAAAAGCCTCTGCTTAAACCATTTTTAAAAGTGGTTTTCTGGTCTTAGTTGGTTTTAGATTAGGTTTTTAATAGAGATATGGAAATTTTGGCAGATAGTAATAATTATTTATATTTGAAAGCCGATAACCGATATATTGGCAGATAAATCTAAATCCAAATTTTTAGATAATTTCAGAAAGTCTGATTACAATCACCATTAAAAACCTTTATAATGTTCCAATATAATTTGATGTAGTCTAAATGACAAACTTGCGCTGCACTGTTGCACTCGACCTTATTTTCCTTTTTTTGAAGTGATTCCAATCATATTTCAAACAATTAAAAAAAACAGTCTAAGATGGTTTGCTCCCCTTAGCTGGTTTCCCAGCCATGTCAGACTGGTCCCGATTGCTGGTTTTAGAGTGGTTTCTGTCACTAGACCATGCCAGTAGACCAAGTTCACTAAGATAAGACTGGTTTAAGTCTAAGCTGGTGTTTGGTGGACTAGTGGACATGGGCAAAACAAAACAAAAAAATGACTTGACCAGCTTGGTCTGGTTGGGAGACCACTTTAAGTAGGTTTTCTTTTTCAGCAGTGTTAAATCTAAACCGATGGAACATAAACTTCAACAACATAATAGTGTTAATTGAGGTTTTCAATCTCTTTTCACTTTATTCCTGAAAGTACATTGAAATGTCACCACAACTCGAGTTGAAACCTAAAAAGGTAACCGTAGAGGACCTGTCAGTTTGCTTTGTCTCCTAACTACACCTCTTCTCTCTGAATGGAAGGTCAAACTCAACATTATAGTGAGGTAAGATCCTGACACTGACTGAAGGGGACCGACACACACACACACACACACATAGAAGCTCAGCATTTGGGATCTACCCAGTTGAAAATGTGGCTTCGATTCAAAGTAAATGTTGGCACAGCTCACTCTAAATTGAAGTCGCTGTGCCACTCATCCCTCTAGAGTGAATAAAACTCAAGTGAGGGATTCAAGTGGAAGTTGCCTGTCATAAAAAAAAATCAATAATTCAGGGTAACATCTGCAACCATGTGTTGTTAAATTGATTATATTGAATATTTAGAATAGATGCATTCGATCATATTTCAGTACTATGAACTTAACTTTTCCAACAGTATTACGTTTTATAAAGAGAAATGACCTATAGTTGAATGGCAGCAGGGTTTAAAAAACATTAAATTTTGTTCCATTTATGATTATTTATTTCATATTTTTAAATATACAGTCACATGACTGCCACAATGTTTGTTTGTTTTTCAGTAAAAAAAAAAAAAAGATTTACTTGAAGCTAAATTGCATAAAATAATATTTTTTTGGAGAAAATATTTTCTTTTCTTGCAATTGTTGTTTTTTTTTTAAAGTATCATAATTTTAATAATCTAACAAAACATATTTTTCTCATTGAATTAATATTTTTAAAGATGTTTGGATTTTTTTTACTGAAAAAAAAGAGATTTTTGCAGTCATGACTATTAAAATAAAAAAAATTTTGAACTGATTATTGTATTTCATTACAATGTGTATAATTAAAATAAATAGTTTCATAGAACCCTAGTGCTCTGGCTGTTTCTAGTGCAGCTCTTTGAAGTTTGTTTGGCCCCGTCCCTTAGTGAGAAGCCTTTGTAAAGTTGGCACATACAGCCTCTTGTTAAATACTGCATGCAATTTTCTTGTTTTTTTTCAAATTCTAGGGCTTATGAACTGTGTACTGATTGGCCAATAACTATACTTCTTTTTCAGACAGAATTAATGATTAATTTTCCCATTTTACAACTGCATTGGTGTAAAAGCTGAGAATGATAAGCTTTACCACAAATGTGGAGATCAAATTTAGTCATTACATAAAGACAGTGGTGGAATGTAACGAAGTACAAATACTTCGTTACTTTACTTAAGTACATTTTTCACGTATCTTTACTTTACTTAAGTACAATAAATAGTGCATACTTTTTACTTTTACTTCGTTACATTTTGCAGCAATTATTATACTTTCTACTCCACTACATTTCTACAACTTCTGTTACATTTTCGTTACATTTTCTGATCAGTTTTTCCCCTGCCAAAACGTAATCTGACCGTCCGTTCGTTGCACGTTTGTCTCACCAGTGACGTTTGGTTGCCATAGATACAGTATATCAACCCGGTCACACTAAATGCGTCTCACACGCAGTGTTTATCATGCAACTCATACGCGAAAATTTGTTTTTACGTGCATAGGAAACACACCGTGTGTAATATATGTTTGGTTTGGTTAGGAGGCAAGCCAAGAGGTTCAGAATTACACCATAAATGAATCGCGTTTACTGCCAAACATAGTTATTAACATATAGTAAGGATAAGCATGATATTGCCTAATTGCAAGCTTGTTTCAGAAATGGTGACATTTTTTTTCCATCATTATTGAACATCATTATAGGAGTAGGCTATTAGGTTGAATGAGTTAGAATTAAATGTTTTATTAATCATTAGAAAATAGACATTAAGATAATAAATTGTTATGCAAGTACTTTTACTTTTAATACTTAAAGTACATTTAAAATAAAGTACTTTTTACTTTTTACTTAAGTATGGTTGTCATTGTGTTACTTCTACTTTTACTAAAGTAAATATCTATCTGGGTATTTGTACTTTTACTTAAGTACTGAGATTCAGTACTTCCTCCACCACTGCATAAAGAACATGCAATATCACAAATCTATGTAATGTTTTTCTAATAGAAGATTAAAAGAGATTAACTGAAAGTTCTTTCCATTGGTATTCACAAATCACTTTGAATATCTGCGTATCCTTACTTGCTCGATTCAGTGTATAATTTGAGATATTTAAAGCTCAGCTCAGAAGATGAATGATGATTCTCATTTCTGAGCTGCTAAGAAGCATGGCCATTACACGTTTAATGTATCCATGTGTCACTCACTCAACAATAACCTTACAATATTTCTGCTATTGGTAATGTAGTGGTAATAGCCAAAAAATTGTAAATATATATATATAAAAAAAATTGTTGCTGTTGATCCATACAATGATAGTAAATGGGGTCCAAATGTCATTTTTGGACCCCATTGACTTTCATTGTATGGACAAAAAACGTTCAAAACATCCTTATCTTAACATCTATTTTATGTTTTAACGTTGAACTAAACATAGATCTTGCATTTAAATTATAATCTGTTTTATTTTGCAACTTCAGAAAAAGAAATGTTTACCGAGTGGCCGTTTTATCATGTGGAGCATGCACGCAGAGACGCTGTGATCGGTATAGAAGAGTACCATGACTAATCAGTCTGGCATCATGAATAAGCCCCTCTCATTCATGCATTGTAAAAGGTAAAGTGTAATTGTTTTTGGCCAGGGATTCTCTGAAGTTGACGTTACAAATTGATCTGCCATTGCTGTTCTGCTCCACTAATTCAGTGTTATTAATTAGCCAAATTTGTTCTTTATCTGCAGCCATTATTCAGTGCCGCTGGCTCCTGGTATATTCACAGCCTCAGTGAACTCTGCTCCTTGCCCTAAAGACTCTGGGAGGGGAAAAACACTGCTTTTTTCTGGATCACCAACGCAAGCCACTTCGAAGAAGGCAGCATCTTAAATGGGACAAAGCTTGCTGGAGGGAGAAACTAAGGAGTCATGTTTAAATGTCAGTGGTATTTATCACTGCATTCACAGTGCAAGTGAGCTGTTAGGGCCTCAGATGGAGCAATGATAAGGTGCAATAATGTACAGCTGAAAACATTTTCAGCATTCTTTCAATTCTGTTTTATTTTTAATTCACTTTTAAAACTCCTTTCTGTTCAGTTTTTGATTTTCATTAAAAAAAAAAATCCCCAAGAAAAGTGAACAGGAAGATTAATTAAATAATTTTGACTATTAAAACAAATCCTTAAATTTGCAGTATTGTTTCATTTTATTTATTTTTTTTTGTGCATAATTTCCTTCCTGGACTTTTATTTTGAAATGTAATTTGACAATACATTAATAGCTAACAACAACAGTTATATTATGCCGAAGTTATCACGTCACTCTGTAGGCCAAAACGCGGAAGTGAGTTAGCATTTTAGCACTTCCGGTTCCCTCGGTCTAAAGTCTATGGGATTTTTGAATGGGTTTTTGCTAAATCGCCTGAAATAAGGTCTGTGGTAAACAAAGCCTCTAAATATTTTCACGTTTTGATCTATGACATAAAACACACCAGTTAAAACCTGCTTGTGTTTTTTAAAACTTTGTTGTGTCTGCTTATATTTTTTTTAACTTCATATAGGCTTCAAAATGTGTAAATGTTTGGATAATCTTGATAGACAAAACGTGTAAGGGTCACAACTCTTTGTTGAAAACAGATCTTATTTTTTGCGATTTTCCAAAAGTCTATGGGGAAAATGCATAGCTTTTCGCTCGAGGGAACCCATGTGACGTCATCACTTCAGCACTCTATTTAGCTTTGGAAAAATATTTGGCTGTAAGTAACTTACAATTCATTGCAATATGATTGAGTTCAATATAATTATTTTAATACAATGAGTGATTTTATTTGATTAGTTATGTAAAAGTGCAGCATTGATTATAAGTATAATAGTAAAATTGATACTCGAATAAGTTTGAGTGATTTAGTTAACTTAAGTTTACTGCATTTTGGAAATTAAAATTGTAGTTAAGTATTTTTTAAGTTCCTGTAGGGACTTTTATTTTGAAATGTGAATATTTTACAGGAAGTTCTGTAAGTTTTATATTGAGTATGATGTTCAAACTGCCAAATTAATAAGAGGGTCTGTCTGTGTGGTCTTTACCCCCAAAGTAGGAGCCATCCGAGAGCTTCATGCCGATAGTCCCTTTGGTCAGGATGCTGACTACGCCATGCTGAATGAAGTACATCTTCTTGCCGATAGTTCCCTCTCGAACGATGTAATCTCCTGGTTGGAAGACCTCGAAGCGGAGCTTGGTTAACATTGCTGTCACGAAGTTGGGATCTGCGTTGGCGAAGAGCGGCATGGACGCCACCAGTTTCCGGCAGTTGAAGTTGACTATTTCCTGAAGGTGCGGAAGTGAGTTTACTCTCAGTTTTAACACATGTTATCAATTGTGTACCGTTTCTGTTGGTAACTGGTACCTCTCTTAATGGCTCGTTCAGTTCTTCCAAAATGCTTTCCTCATCGAACATCTTGCCCTGGTATCTGTGCTCATAGTAGTCATGGATCTTCTGCCGGAAGTCAGCCGGAAGTTTGTGGAAAGACATGTACTGTTCGACTTGCTTGTACTGAGAAGAGAAAATGGACATAGGGTCAGTTCAAATGATTGTGAAATAATGATTATGTTAAAACATAACCAACACCATCAGATCACCTTTTAGCAGGCTGTTATAATTCACATATAGCAGCCAAACAACATCTTAAGTTAATGATTTAAGGGTCAAGAGCCCAACTAAAACACACACTGATCACCACAATGGTGACTTAAAATTATGTTTTTCTCCTTCCGTGATTCTGCTTGTGAACATCAGGTGTCTTCAATGATGGCAATAAAAAAAAGAGGTTTTTACTCATATACATTAAAAAGAAAAGAAATTTTACTCATTTTAAATGGTTAACTTTTAAGTAATTAATTTGGTTAATTATTACTCAATTCTAATTTGTTGAATTTCATTAATAATATTGATTGTAATCTGTTGCCTTAATTTTATTGATTAGATTTCACATATTCAGTCGTATTGATTTGGACACACTTTTGACCCAAAATTTCCAACCAGTAAAATTTAGGTTTCCTGTATGGGTGTTCGTGCTATTTTAGGAAACATCAAGGGAAGTTATTTATGGTGGATGTGATAGACTAAAGAGTGCGTGATGAATCAGATGATAAACTCTATTCATAGCGCAGCATATGTAGTTAACCATCTCTCTGCAGCATCTTCTGTATTGTGATGGCTTTCTGGTTTGTTACTGGAATAATCAGTAAATTTGTTGTGTTAAATGGTTTCAGCTATGTTTGTATGTTGTGTGGAAATTAGATTATATATAACAATTAATTATGAATATATTGATGTTTCAAAAACATATCATATTTTTATAACACAGACTTACTACACTACTTTACCTGTCATTAGTTTTTAAATAACTGAATTTTCACTTTGAAACTAATACGTGATGATCACTAGAATATTTTTAACACATTTTCCATATAAAAAATATAAATAAATGATCCATGTAAAACATGTGATCCATGAAAAAATGATGGTAAATATCCTATTAATTGTTTTTTTATATATATCTCCAATGACTTATTGTCATTGAGTATATGAATTGCCCATCAAATATGTTGGGTACATTCTTATGGTTTGCAATATTTGTATTGTTTTCTTTAATAAATGAATATTAAAATGTGAGGTTAACCCTAATCAAGAACAAATTGAGGCAAAATTGAGAAATTGTGAAAAAAAATTTTTTACATTTTTAAATGTAAATGCCTCTTCTGATATTCTTTACATCCACAAGGACTGGAGATTTGGATGACATCTCTTAAAACTACAAAATTACCTTTAAAATAGATTCATGATGAAAAAGTTTTACAAATTTAAAAATGGAAAAAAAATAAATCTCAGAATTATTTTAAATTAATCAGTGGCAGAATAGACCAAAAATGTATACATTGTGAGTCTTAAAGTGTAGCAGTGTGTGTAGTGGCATACAGTTTGTCGGTCACATAGTTGACAATCTCACAAGGGAAATATCTATATTTATTATTATATTTTCTGTGTCAGAACAATATGTTGCAGAAATTAAATTCTAAAGAAATGTTTCTGTCACATAGTATGATATGTCCTAGTACTCAAGAATCAGTGATATAGAATGGTGGCTATATTTCGCAGGTTCGTGCGAAATATACCGTCGGTGTGTGAATGAGCGTATGAATGGGTGAATGTGAGGCAATATGTAAAGCGCTTTGGTGGCCATTAGGTCTATGAAGGCGCTATATAAATGCAGTCCATTTACCATTTACCATTTACCATAGGTTAACAAAATGTCAAATTTTGAAAATCCAACTTTGTGACTTTAGCAGAGGTCATATTAACCCTTTCTATGTTGAATGGCAAAGTGCAGAGGTTAGAAAGTGTGTTAATAACACCAGCTCATGACATCTCTGCAGCATCTCTCTCACACACACACATCCTGATGGCAATTCCTATCAATGTCAAAGTGGATCCATTTAATAAGTGAGATAGATACAGTATACATCATAGATACAGACAGACAAACAGAGGTGATGAAGATGAAGCTTAGGTTAAGGTTATTTTGCAGTCAAAATCTCAAACACTTAATACCAAGGAGGGAGGCTGTTTACAGTATACGATTGTTATGACACAATATTTCTGAAGCAGTGTTAAATGTGAGACAGTCTTGTGTGGCCTTTCAGACCTCATATTCCAACATAACTCAACTATATTGGGTCGTGTGCACACCAGGATAATGACATGGGGGAAGGGTGATGCTCCTTAGTGACCTCTCAGCTGGATAGATGGTGTTGGTTGGAAAAAGGCATGTGGATAATGACTGTCGGTATGTGCGCGGTGACATGCTCGGCTTGACAAGCCTAGGGTCGATTCTTTGGCTACTAACAGGGGTGCAGTCTTTTGCACTTGTTAGTGACAGGTACTGTCTGTTGTACAGGCCATTGTGCTGTTTTATGAAGGGATTTTTGTTTATTATTGCACTCTAAAAAATGCTGGGTTGTTTCAACCCAAATTTGGGTCAAATATGGACAAAACAAAATGTGGGGTTAAAAATATAATAAGAAAATGTACAGTTGAAAGTTGAAGTTTTTAATGACATTTTTAACCCAACATTTGGGTTTGTCCATATTTGACCCAAATTTGGGTTCAAACAACCCAGCACCGTTTAGAGTGTGGTGTTTGTTTGAGAAACCTTTTAAATGTTTGTGTTTTTTATGTTTCAGTGTGTGTCTAACAGATTTTGAACAACATGAGGGTGGGTAAATGGTTCGTTCATAAATTACGATTTTTTTTTAATGAAAGTCTAATGGTATTGCCACAGAAATGTAGTAATGACATTGTTAAAATAGTCCATGTGACTACAGTGGTTCAACCTTAATGTTATGAAGAGACAAAAATACTTTTTTTGCACACTATTACTCATCATCCCTTTGGCAGTGGGAGGGGAATCATGAGATGTGCACTGACTGACTTTAATTAGCTCAGAGTGGAAATCCCCATCATAAACTCATTTCATGAAAACCTTTTGTTTCAGTAATCCGGCCAAAATCCTAATCTAAATCGATCTTAATTAATTACAATTGGATAAGGGATTTGTACAATCGCACATAACCGAAAGAAACAACCAGGGGTCCCGACTCTCAGCATGCCATTATCCCTTTTCACCTTTTTTGCATTTCTTTCTGCGTACGGTAATAGCACAATGCTAATTGCTAGTTTTGTGAATAAAACACATCTTTAATTAACCTACTTTACATATAGGAGGCGGCGTGTAGTGGTAAAAAAGTGCAAATCTTAAGTAAGAGAATTTAATCAGAGACTGTTTAACATTGACACAACTGTGCTTAAAGAAAGTACCACAAATGCACATGATCATTTAACCACCTCAAAATAACAGAGCCCGCTTGTCTCGTCAAGCTCGACCAACTCTGTAATTTACGCTTTGTGTCTTTTGATCAAGGAAGTCTATTTTCTCCTCTCTTTGGTTCATTCAATCAGCAATGAAACAAGGCAAGGTGTTAAACTGAAATGTGAAGCCAATTACTTGAACCACCTTGTTGCAATCACTGTTTGGGTCTCCTATTATGTGCATTAGCACTGAAAACACTTTAGGAAACTTTCAATTTCACCTGGTCTTAGGATGGGTCATAGTTCAGGAAACTGTTCTCTGTTTATACTCAGATAGATAGATAGATAGATAGATAGATAGATAGATAGATAGATAGATAGATAGATAGATAGATAGATAGATAGATAGATAGATAGATAGATAGATAGATAGATAGATAGATAGATAGATAGATAGAGACAGACAGACAGACAGACAGATAGATAGATAGATAGATAGATCTCTGTTCTCTGTCACAGAACAGAGCTAGCATTAGCTTAGCACTTAGCATCTGGTGACAGGTAGATGACCCGATTAGCTTGTGTAAGCTTCCTAGCAGAAGTCATCAAAGAATTTATGCAATGTTGCGTAATATATTACAGATAATCATCTTAGTTCATCTAAAACGGCTGAATTGACATATTCTGACCTGACTCTGACATTTGAACTGATTTGAGCTTGCTAAATATTACCTCAGTCTTTGTTGCTTGCTTGTTTTTAGCAATGTTTCTCCATACAGCACCAGGACTATATTTTCCAAACTGTTCATTTAGTTTCTGTAAAAATTTACAACATGATCACTTCCAACCCAAGCTAGCATGTGGAAACAAGCTATTAATTATGAACGATGTTAGCGCATATGCTAAATACATGGAATCAAATCATTCAGCCAGTCCACTGTTGTTGTTGTTTTTTTATCTTTGAAATGGGACATGCAGTTCATCTTCAGTCAGTGACATAAAAGGATGATATATTTCCCATGACCATCTGCCAAAGCATCAAGGTCATCAAAGTCACCAAGGAGGGGGGATGAAAGCCTGAATCCTGTGAACCGTATATCATGCTTTCGTTCCATATGGACATAGAGTCCATCAGTGGATACATTTAAACCATAGGTATCCGACGCCAACTAGGATTATGATGGTTTACTGTTAATAACCAGCGTGATATGAGACCCCTACGGCCCTGTAGTCCAAAACCCTATTCAAAGATCACAAACAATTCTTGCTGTATACTCCTACAAAAAAGACTAAGAACTATATCATTCTGTAAAATCAAATCATTCCCATAAATGATGCAGTCAGTATATTATCATGTTGTGGTCATTATTGGAACATACTAGTCTAGTTGGAGACTGCGGTGCCCGATGGTCGATTGATACAGCTCGATCTGTACATCTCGACGCCGTCGACTTAACGTTACATTACTGTATACAGTGTATAAATATATGACCTACCCCTACCTAAACCTACCCGTCACTGGGGTTAATACGATTTATGAGTCTTCCCCTACCATCCGAGGAAAAAAAAATATCGCTCCCCAGATGTAGATCTACATTTTGCTTTGTTTCGCTCGGACATTTAAGGGCGTGTACATACACGCGGAATCACTCTGACATTTAACGGCGTAGACATACATGCATACACACGGATAGCTCAAAATGCGTATAGATAACACGTCACTTGACTTGCAAGTTCCCTGGGGTGCGGTAATGTTGACAGAAACTGATCTGAGACTTCTATCGTTCTACTTCATTTAAAGCTACACTGTGTAACTCTTTTAGTTTATTCTTAGCTAAAAAAAACGTAGTTCTTTCAAAAATATATGTGCTCATTAATGTATATTTACTTCGTTCAAGTGATAAAGTGTATAATATGCCATTGAAAATACATACGGGTAAGGGGTTCTAATGTCGGTCGCCATGTTGCCCCTCCATCTTGAAAGTACATTAGCCAAAGAGGGACATACCCGTTAATTCAAGCTTCGCCTTTCGCGTTTACGTTTAAGTTAACACTCATGGACGAGGTCGAACTGGAAGCCATGCTAATCTTGGACAACAATGGCTACCGTAGGAGTTAAAACGAAATCGGAATTGAGAGGAACAGAATCTAATATTCACTGGATAGTCGATGGGGGTAAAAATCACACAGTGTAGCTTTATTTTTTTGGAGGCTAGACCTAAGCAGGTAATTGAAAGTCAAAGCCAACCAATGTAATGCTTGTTACGTAATGGCTAATGTCCCGTTCATCTGTCGTTGTCTGGCAATCCACTGGTTTACACATAGCAGGGGAGATGGACATGTGAGGGGATGATGGGAGATCTACACAGGGACATTTGTACATCAGGTTGCAAAGGCGTGATAAAGAAGGGATTTTAAAGTACCCTATGCTTTTTACAGTGGCTTTTGAATATATACTATACATCGATTTATGCTAGAAAGCATATTCTAGGTCAATATGTTGAAAAGCAAGCACTCAAGGACCACCATCACAGCAATCCACTTCTTCCTCTCCACCAGTGAGATCCCCTTCATCTCAAGTATGCACAAAAATCATCAGCTTTTTAATGTATATTTTGTCTCCAAGAAACATTACATTGCGTTTATTCTAGATCATGAGGTCAAAAACAGCGTCCTATGGGCCCTTTATTTCATGCAAAGAATGGCTTTTGTTGGCATCTTTAGCACGTTCTACTCCCCTGCTGCCTCACTGGCTCTGTTATCTGACGGCAAGCAGCTCTGTTGCTAGTGATTAATGAACAGGAAAGTCTGCCGCCAGAGGCGAGATTTGATGAGCTCCACCGAAAGTCCCATAGGGATTCTCTGCATTACATCATTCCTTCCAATAGTGTCGTAATATATGTTTAGAGTAAGAATCTAAGGCATGCAAATAATGATGAGCAGAAATTCCTTTCGATCTTGAAATTCTTGTGTTTCAATGTGTTGACGGGGTACAGTGACCCTCATGGCGCCGACGCTGAGTGGACATCAAATTTCTTTGAAATACAATCCCCCCTTTTAAAGCACATGGCTATAACAAAACGATTATCTATATTTTCAAGAAAACGGGAGGATCCAGAAAGTCGGCTGCTCAATGGAAAGTGCAGAGATAAGAAGTTTCTATTCAAACCAAATCGTTTGTGGCGTCAAGACACGAGTTGCCGGTGTAAACAAGCACCAGATGCCGTGATTAGGAATCAAAGAAGACCGAATTACAGCCGTGGGAGGGACTGACAACTGATCAGATGAGAGGCCAGATTGGAGAGAATACCCACAACCCTCAGCCGTAGGGATAGTTGGCCTGAGCAGTTTCATCCTCTCTAACAGACGATAGGTAGCGACTTTGATCTGGCAAGATCAAACAGACGGTGACACATAAGAAGGTCATCTGCAGGTGTTTCGGTGTGTATGTGTGTGTGTCTGGAGCATAGTACCCACCTTCTCCTGGTACTGGCGCCGGGAAGAGTCCAACGACTGTATGAGGGCGGTGGCATGGCCAATGAACATGGCGTAGCAGGTGGCTCCCACGATCATACTCAGCATGGTCAACCAGATATCAGACATACTCTCTGGGGCCTGGCGTCCGTACCCGATGCACAGCATATGGCTCATGGCCTTGAACAGGGCAAAGGAGTACAGCTCACTCCAGGAGTCGTTCTGCAAATTGGAAGGCGAGAAAGGGAGACTTTGATTACTTCATCAGCACTTCATACACTCTCCTGAGCATGATCTCCTCTGGGCACTAATCCTTGGGTCAAAATCTTGGCTCATGATACAAAACCCCTATTAAAGGCAGCTTGCCAAGTACTGTACGTTGGATAGCTTCGTGCGGCATGGACCTGAGGTAGATTCATCAATTCACCACTCTGTCTGACTCTGTAATTTAAAGGTGGTTAGTTGGACCGCATTGTTTATTGCTCAGCTGGGCTCCCCTCGCAAATATCTGCATAGAACCTCAGCTGCTTACGCTAAAGTGCTTCGCCTCTCTTCATAAGCTACTGATTTTTCAGGATTGACCTGATGGGTCCCCGTGAAATGTGCTTAACCTAATTTGCATTCACTTCGAGCAGGTTTAGACAAGGCTATGAAGATCCTGAATCAAAGTCAAGGAGGCCACGGGTGACTTTGAATGGCGAAGAGGGGGGAATGAAGGGAAAATGAAAAACGGGGTGATGGGTAATCAGGGGTATTACTTTGTGCAAATGAGTTGAGAAGTGGTTTACTAGGGTTGGTATGGAGGAAGCCTGTGTTGAGGCCAGGAAACACCTGGCAGCTTGGGTGTAAAGGCAGTGCTCATGGAGCGCAATTGTCGTTGAGAAATAAGAAATATTTGCAGAATCAACTATACATTCCCAAAGATGAAGCAAATTGTTGCCTCAACCCCAACAATCTTGTCAAGTACAAATGCAAACAAGCCCAAGAGGACATTGTCTGGACTCTGGAGTCTAACCATTTATTTGAGAAACTCCAAGACTTGGCAGTGAAGAAATCATGCAGTGTGGGCAGTGTGTCTTCATGTCTGCTTTCCATCGTCAGTCTGCAATCCATGACATACCCTGAACACATCTCAGTGAGTGCACAGGTCAACAATTAAACACCCTCCTGACATATGCATGGGAAAGAAATAAGTTATTTTGCTTAAGTTTATACTTAGATGGATCTGAGTCATGCCTTGCACTGTGAGACTGATTTCTCAGGATTTGTACTGCAACATAAACACTAAACACAACGATTTGCCTGGCAGTGGTATGCTTCTCAGTGAGGTGTATGCAAATAAACACACTGAGCAATTGCTTAGCCTTGAAACATTTGCATTTAACACCCCAGCACATGCTCTACATTCTGTGGCTAAACAGGCATTCACAAATTATTTCCTGTTCCCTGCATTGAAAAGAAAAAGGAAATGTTTAATGCTGCATAATCTGTTTGAGCAGACATAAATTGTAGTGCTGCTAGCATGATTTGGAATGAGCTAAATAAAAGATTAGTACACATTAGGGTAGATCCGGTTAAGCAATTGTGCTTTGGTTACGTTTGCTTATCGAATGCCCTTAGCGCACATTTAACCTAGTGTTACTCTACCCCACTGGCACAGAAATGAAGAGACTATTAAGTTGAATTTGAGCAAGTTCAACTAGTATAGTAATTTGTCTTTACTGCAGGGTTTTTCTGTATTTATGTGTGAACATAAGAGGTTTGTACAGTCTACATTCAGCTGAGGGGAAAAAAATACCCTAATAGTTACTGTAGTGTCTATTATGGCTTGCTGGGATATTATAATAGTGTTTGTAATAGAATAAATATAGAGAGCTAATTAGCTGCAGTGCAAAGGGTTTTCTGTAGCATTGCTTGTTTAATTGGGTATAAGTAATAGAGTATACATGCAATGTATACATTAGTCGAGCTCAATCGGTTTCTCTATAAGGACGGTGTAGAATCAGGCCACTTAACCGAGGTAACGTAACGTCAATCCTGTCAGATCATTCATGCATTGAGTGAGCGTGTAGGCAGCTACGGGTCGGCCAATCTGGTTCCGTCCATTAAAAATAACTTTTGGAAATAACCGCGGCCCTGGACACTGAGTGACCTTACACATTAAGCAGTCATTGTTAAAAAAACAAGCTAACAATACTTGCTAACTAGCCTTAGTGAAGCGGCCAGAGGGATCGTTCTGCCTCCACCTAAGCTCCTCCCTCAAAAAAAACGTCACCATGTTTACCAACTGAAAAGGGGTCTATTATTAGGAAATTAAACAGTTTTTTGACCTTCGATGCATGTAAACCTGTTGTAGGAGACTCCAAAACAACACTAGGAAACTTTAAAATGGCGTAATGGGGGCACTTTAACTTTGAATGGCTCAACGAGTTTGCAGAGCTCATAAGCAAGACTCTTAAAAAATGCATTTGTAAGCATGTACCTTTGAATCGGACATGGTTTATTTGGGATTCTAACCGTGCACAGATGGATTTAAAGATGCTAGGTCATGGATCACAGGGCACAGCTGGATCAAAAGGGATCAAAGGGTGTATTTCAGTGCATTGATCTACCAGAGGCGGGAAACACAGTGGCAGAATCATCTGTAACTCATTTATGCACTTCAACAAGGAATTTTAATTCAGTTTGGATGTGATATTGATTAGTCTAGGCTTACATTAATGATCATGATGTTTTTCCAACAACTATTGAAGACATATTTTTTTTCAGAATCTGACCCTGGATTTCTGCAAACGGGAAGAAGGCAAGTGATACTGTTTTGGATTGGATTCGTCATCGTCATTGGAGTCTGAATGTCATCACTTTCTTTCAGTATCCTGAATGGTAATGCCTCTTTAAGTTTTATTGTGTTCTAACAAATGAAGGAAGGTTTGTAAATTGTCCAGTGTTTTATAACACCTTTGCTGAAGCAAATCTTCAGTGAGTGTGACTCACAGGCTTCATTAACGCACAAAGAAATGCCTATTGAGAGTACAGGCGGACACTTGAAATAATGAGACGGATCATTTAACGCTGCGTCTTTCATTTCAAGCAATCTGCCTTTCGAAAGCTGCTGACCTTGATTGCTAAGCATTGGCAATGACTAGACTGACTGCAACTCTTGTGGTAACAAAAGCCAATGAGAAACTTGTCCCCATGTCACATGACAACATATACGAGTCTCAAAAAGGATGACCAGGCAGGGAACCCCTAAATAATCTGCATCACTCAATTTTTTTTTTGTCGGTTACAATAGCCACTGTGTCAGATTACGCGATTTTGACTCCTAAAATCTTGACGTCTCGTGGACAACACACGTCAGACTACACATTGCTTCCTGACCAGTCCTCTTGAGAAGGCGAAACTGGTAGCGAGTGACTTCCGGAAACAAACGTAAACAAACAATGGATGAAGCGGTGGGTGTTGTATTAGCTATGTAGTGACTGTCCTGTGTTCAGAAAAAAGTAAAAAAAGAAAAAAAATGACAATGAACACGTTCCTGGATTGCTCGGCATTGCCTTTTCAGCGCGAGAAATACGCGGTGTGGCGTGTGAACTGGTTGAATTGCGTGTCTCACGGCCATTGCGTGAGACTTGAGCTCGAAGAGGACACTATGGGCTGTCAATTCTCCAAAGAGAACTTGAGGTAAAATATTGTTTTCTTATATATTTTTACTTTTAGTGTTAACGTTAGCACCATCGTCTCTCTTTCGTTTTGCTATTTTTGAAAGTAGCGTATGGAAAAGCTTCTGTGCTTCTGAGACCGTCGTGGACGACCGTTAAAAAAAATTAAACATGCTAGTCTTTTTGTCGTGATGTCGTGACGTAGGTTGTCACCCACTATGACACACTATACGAAATGATACGATCGAATCTTGCGTCCCGACGCCCGTTGCCGTTTACGAATCTCCACGACACTCTACGTCAAAACAGATCGTGCCAAAATCGGGCTAAAATCGTGTAATCTGAACCAGGCATTAGCTTTATTCAACCTCGTGAGAATGTCAACCTTTCCATTGGTAAATTCAGTTTGGAAAAAAAAAAGCGTGTTGTGTTTTTCATACCAGACTGGTTGGCGACTATTCACAAACTGTCGCCAATCGTTTACACTAAGGTTTAAAACAAGCCAGCCTTTGGTTGTCAGAGTGGTTTTCTGCCCACATGTGAATCCCCAGACAACCCAATTATATGTCGTACCCTCAGTTGAAGTTTCCTGACACTGTACACACTTTACCGAGGCAGAGTTCATGATCGATTACTGTATACATCGGTGTAGCAAATGTCCAAACAGTGTCTTTTCTTCCAACTAGACTAAACAGCATGGAGAACTTCTAGAACAGATGGATGATGGTGAGCAGTGAGGGAGGGGCGACTCGAAGTGCCTGGCAGACTTGAGAAAGTGAGAGGAGCAGGTGATGGAGTCGGCTCCCCAATGTGCCCATGTGATTAACACTGTCAAACACTGATGATATCAGTAGAGGTGTTGGCTTTGTTATTTGCATATTGTGTGGAATTGTCCAGGCATAATTTGAGGACTGAGTCCAAGATTCAGGTCCTGGACTGAAAATATCTCGTTCCTATTTGTGTGTAACTGTAGAAAATGATGCTCAAACTTTGGGCTACACAAATCACTGAGAACTTGCGTGACAGAAACCGAGGTAAGTTGGAAGGTAAGACTTACCACCATCTTGTTCAGAGACACCCAACAGTCCGAAGGGAAGTCCTGCAACATGGGCACCAGGAACTGCAGACAGCCATCCCAGTGGCACAGCAGCAGCATCATCCCAATCAGATTGATAATGCGCATCACTGCACTGGCCAGGTCATAGGTCATGTGAAAGATCTGTCAGTCAAGATAAGAGCTCATTACATTTGAGTAGCAGAAGGGAAGGACTCTCTAGGACAAACCAGACCATATTAAATTATCACGACTCTGAAACAAAGACAGACTCGGAAACAAAATCCCTCATTTTCGGAAGGATTGTCTAAACAAGCTACTGTTTCAAAACCCCTTTGACTTGTAGATTATTTGTGACCTCTAGATTTGTGAACATATTGTATTGAGATCAGGTTTGTCAAAGCTTTATGTAATGAGCACAGTACATTCTACAAACTTCATCCCGTCAGATTAGATTCAATAGCGGTGACTGTGAGGTCAGAATGATACGAGCATGTCTGTGAATGATGAGTTCTTGAGTTCTCTGAGTTCTTCCTGGCAAGACTAAGGAAGAATGGAGAATGTTTCTCTTGGAGACAGTTGTGTGTGCAGTTTGTTTGTGGTTACAAAGTAAAGAGGACAGCTATTGGAAAGCGATCTGGAGCCAGCCCAGGATAATTCCTTGTGTGGTTGTGCGAGACAGTGTCAACACTCTCTTCCCATACCAGAAACAAGGCTTGTCACACCTGAGAAAAGCCAAGTGCCCCAAATAGCAACTGAGCCAATACAGCGATAAAAGAAGACAAGGCAGAGACACTAACCTGGCTCATGTTGTAAAGTTCTTAGTCGGCATGGGTTATTTTTTTTTCTAGCTTGAGAGGCAGCAGCATCTTAAAACCGAGACAATGCAAAACATAAAACTGACTGGAGAACTAATAATTGAAGAGAAGCATCATGCTTGGGGCTATGGTTGAGAGTTATGGCTGTTTGGGTAACACTTTAGAATACGGTTCCTTCGTTAATGAATAACTACACAAGAACTAATGAGTAATACAATATTAACAATATAGTAACTATTATTAACTAACAAGAAACTCTGATTAACGAACTAGTAAGTAATAGCGCACAGACAAAAGTGGTAGTTCACTATTAAGTAATTGATAACTACTATTTTTTTAATACTTCCCAGAGAACTACTGAAAAAGTTTATTAACAATCTAGTAACTACTATTAACTAAAAGAAATTCTTATTAACGAATTAGTAAGTAATAGCTCACAGATGAAGGTGTTACTAGATACTTCTGTGGGAATTACTAATTATTTGGATTCGTATTATAAAGTGAAGATCATTGGAATTAACTAGTAATTACTCAAGTGTTACTACATGATCTAGTCATGATTTGTGCAAACGTTTGAGATTTTTGGTGAACTTTAGTATACTTTTAGAAAATGTCTTTAGTAACACTTGAGTAATTACTAGTTAGTTCCAATGATCTTCACTTTATAATACGAATCCAAATAATTAGTAACTCCCACAGAAGTATCTAGTAACACCTTCATCTGTGAGCTATTACTTACTAATTCGTTAATAAGAATTTCTTTTAGTTAATAGTAGTTACTAGATTGTTAATAAACTTTTTCAGTAGTTCTCTGGGAAGTATTAAAAAAATAGTAGTTATTGATTAGTTAATAGTGAACTACCACTTTCGTCTGTGCGCTATTACTTACTAGTTCGTTAATCAGAGTTTCTTGTTAGTTAATCATAGTTACTAGATTGTTAATGTTGTGTTACTCATTAGTTCTTGTGTAGTTATTCATTAACGAAGGAACCGTATTCTAAAGTGTTACCTCTAGCAGAATAGGCTAAGTAATTAAAACGTGCTTAATTGTTCTAAAAGTGTTAATATTTTTCTTGTTATGGCAAAAACAGCACATGCTTTATAATTAGAATTTACAAACTTCCAAGGGGGGCAGCTGTACACATGCAGTATGAAATCGGGGTAATGGGCAACAATCTAAGTGTGCGGTTGGGGGGTTATGCTAGCTGTTTATGACATTTCCCAGATAAAAGACCACAGTTTTAAGGCACTTACATTTCCTTCACATTATCCAGATTAAGGAAAAGTGGTTTAAGACAAATGGGTTATATATTTTAGGTTGTCTTACTCGTGCTGTGTCCCTGCCTGAGTAATCAAGAGCTATACGGGGGCTAAACAGTGTGGAGTGAATGTGGCACTGCTGTGCAAGGTTGATTCAGTAATTGAGGGCCATGCCTAGCTCACATTACCACTATGTAATCAGGAGCATAATTGTCCCATTCGGTGGTGAAAAGAACGCATATAACTGAATCATCAGTCAGCTCAACCCCAGACAAATCGTCACAATGCTGTCACACAGCTGGCTCTCTATAATCATCCGAAATGTTCATAAAAGATGGTGATTTGAAATGTTGATCATTGTTTTAATGTTAATGCACTGTTCTGTTTTTACTATTGTGGTCAGTCAGTTGCTGTTCTATATGTTTATGATGGTTAATTACCCCAGGCTACGTTAATTAGCCTGTGAACCTAATTAGTCACCCACGACAAACACCTACAAGACAGCATTGGAAATCAGTGAAAAGCTCCATTGAATACATTCTGCTTCTCACAATTACAAACAAAAGAAGTGACATCACCAGGTAAATAATAAATCATATATATATATATATATATATATATATACACACACACACACACACACACACACACACACACGTATAGCTTTTTTAATAGTCGTGAACAAGCACTCAAGTCCTTAAAAATTAAGCCAAAGCGTGTTGATCGCCCCCAGGTGGCTGGTCCCAGTATAGGTCATAAACCCCACCCTCTCCATGTAATCTAATGGGACGCGAGGCAAACTAAACAATCCAATTACACTTAAAATACGTTTTTTCCAAAGATGTTTTCTGTCATTTTAGGTTGTTTTATCATGCTGATGTAAGTTTAAGTGTTGATGCTTTAAAAACGGGAGTGTGACGTCATGACTGACAGCGACTCTGAGCGAAGCATAGAAATATACACTAGATGTCGCCTGGGCTACGGCAGTTCATTAGAACAAATGCGTCAATAGAGCCGCCATCTTGGAACAGGGGAGCCCCTCCACTTTAATGCATCAACGTCAATGTAGACAAAGGTCTAACGGCAATAAAATCACCATAAATCATCTCTTTTTTTGGGGGTTCGTTCTAACAGTCAGACATGTATTTATCATTGATTCCAGAAAAAAATTCGAAACTTTTTTTTTTTAAACATTCTTCCTAGTTCAGATTTCATTCGTGTGACCATCATACACAGCACCAAAGTCTGCCTCCATAAATTAATTCGAAGTAAAGTCAGAGATAGCAGCGTTACCTAGCTACTTCCTATGACAACACCCCTGTTCCAAGATGGCGGCGGTTTTGAAGCATCCTTAGAATCACAAGGTGACGTCTAGTGTATAAGTCTATGTGAGCGAAGTAGTCACTGAGGCACCATCACCACTTTTTTGGGGATAATCAGGCGGCGATTGTAGCTTCAACTTTAATTTCTATATTTCAATAACATTTATTTCACACCAATATGAGTTGTTCTGCCGTTCACCGTCCTAACCGTTTCAGAATCAGGTCCCAAATCAGCGCCATATTGGGACATTTGCCGCTTCACTATTCTACAATGGAAGAGAGTGAAGGTGTGTCGTCCATCTTTCTTACAAGTCTATCTTCTTTTGAATAAGAAATTACATCACGAACAGGGTATGCGCTTTCGGACGCAGCCATTGTGTATATCCAGTAGAAGCAATTATTTTTGAGTTAGGCTACCGAAGCTATCAGCCGTGATTCATTTATTTTTTAATCTCAAATGGCAGCCACCATGAGATGACCGATGACCTATTCAACGTAGCATAAAACAAATTTTTAATGAGGAAAAAATGACTCCTTTCATCAAAGCGCATATTTCAGTTTCTTTACGTTGTCATTCGAAAGATCGTGTTTGACTTCAACAATGAAGCCCATCTTACCTCTTCCCATTGATGGATGTAACGAATCAGTCTGGACAGTCTAAGCAGTCGCAGTAAACTGAGAATCTTGGTGAAGCGCACGATCCGCAACGCCCTGGCAGTCTTGTAAACCTCAGAGTCGATGCCTTTCTCTACGATGAGAAAGATATAATCCACCGGGATGGATGAAACGAAGTCCACCACGAACCACGTCTTCAGGTACTTCATCTTGATCTTTTCTGGGTCCAGTACTATCTCTGTGTTCTCTTCGTAGACAATGCCTGTACGGAAGTTCAGCACCAGGTCCATGAGGAAGAACGTGTCGGACACTACGTTGAAGATAATCCAAGGGGTGGTGGTCTCCTCCTTGAAGAAGGTGATGCCCACGGGAATGATAATCAAGTTGCCCACCATAAACATTAGCATTGTGAAATCCCAGTAGAACCTATGTGGAGATTGAAGGAACAGGCACATGAATTCAGTTGGTACAGTTATTTACAGGTCATTCGCTTAAAGGGATAGTTCACTTTGAAATTTAATTTTTGGTATGTTTTAGCTTATCTCAAGGGCATCCAAGATGTAGGTTTTTGTTTCCACGAATTAAAAACAATATAAATACTGTTTGTTTTCTCACACAAACCGCTCGTTTCGTGTCTTAGGCCATGAATGTGTACTTACATTTAGGAGTCATTAAATCATGTTTAATTTGGACTTCTCTGTGCATGCTCTTTGAGGTGGTGACCATAGACCTCCATTATATGACTGACAGACAAGAACGGTTTGACCTAAAAATATCAAAATTAAAAATACTGTGTAAACAAGGACACCTAAATCTTGGATGCCCTTGAGGTAAGCTAAAACATATCAAGAATCAATTTCAAAGTGAACTATCCCTTTAAATGCATATGCAAAGAAATGACACTGAATTTTTATTTTATTGATAGATGGCAATTTAAAAAAAAAAAAATCAGCATTTCAGTGTCAAACAAAATGTCTGAATATTTTCATTAGTCTTCAAGTTAGAGTTGTGTGCATGAATTCACACCACATTCACTTGGTGAATGGACACCACATGTTTTTTTTTTTTTTTTTTTTTTTTTTTTTTTTTGGGGGGGGGGGGGCTATTTACATTTTGTTTGCCGTATGTCAATCTAATGTGGCATTTTTCATGTATTTTGGCAAGAGGCACACCCTTATAATGAAATTCAGTCCTCGTGCATTCAGTGAGACGGGGATACACCCTATAAATAACCCCAGCCTTGACAAACACGCTGCACGCACACGAGAGGAGGCGATGTAGGCGTAATAAAACAGCTTTCATGTGATATAGTGCCTGTTGGATGAAATCAATATGGTGAGATATTGTACCAATAAATAATAGTCAACCTATGCAAGGTCATCACAAGGACGATGAGAACGAGATACAGACGGGATAATTTGGCTTACAGATTTGTGAATTTAAGAGATAGGTGGTTTCTCTTTAGGTGCATCAATGATTTATTGATTATATATAGCTGTCTGTGGTATTGAAAGCATAACTTCAGAAGTGATCGTAAGCGAGCGTTCTCAAGTAAAAGTATGCAGCTGTTCTCTAATAATATGTGCTCATCACATAAAGCTCATTTAAATGCAGTGCTCCGTTTGTCTACTCTGTGCAAATAATAATAGGTCACTGGCCTGCACTGCAACGTGTGATTATGAATAAATATGAAGACTAGCTTGAACAAATACATAATTTTCTTTTGTTTTGTTTTTCATGCACACACAGAAAAAAACATGTATGAACAGTCATTGGCACAATGAGCAGAGAGCGTAAAAGAATGTGTAATGATGCTGATGTTGGGGAAATAAGGACTCGGAGTTATCTTTCTCTACTTTAACCTTTATTATACGTTTAAAATATGCCATTAAAATATTGTACTGAATGGATTTTTTGTATTATTTTGATTATTTATTTATATATATTTATATGTGTATTTATATATATATTTATATGAGTGTGTGTTATTTGTTATTGTTTGCATTTTTATGAAAGTTTAGTTTTATTATTTTATATCTAAAATACTCCATTAAAACATTGAGCTGGGTATCTGAAAAGAGAGAATAAATTATTGTTTTTTTTAATATTTTATATTTTTTATGATCAATATATATATATATATATATATATATATATATATATATATATATATCGCATTATTCTTTTTTAAATTATTTTTATGCCTGATACTTTTATGAAAGAATATTTCATAGGGCTGTTAAACGAGTAATCGCGATTAATCGCGTCCAAAATAAAAGTTTGTGTTTACATAATATGTGTGTGAACTGTGTATAATTATTTTGTATATATAAATACATATGCATGTTAAGAAATATTTGCTTATATATATATATATATATATATATATATATATATATATATATATGTTTTGACCTAGAGCAGAATGGCTAAACAAACATTAAAATGTCAACTTTCAGGAAAAAGTTAACAGAGTTGACATTTTTAAGTTCAATTAGCCGGGAAAGAGAATACGATGCTGATATTTATTCATTCACAAATATTTAGTGTTCAGAATCACATCAGCTGTTCACTGTGCAAAGTCTCAGTAACAGGGTTGACTATTTAAATAGTCCTCTACTAATAAATTTAACGTTTTAAGGATGATGTTATTAACAAACAAGGAGTACACATAAGTCACACACATATATATATATATATATATATATATATATATATATATATATAATTTGTACTATACAATATACATAAATATTTTATATATAATTTTTTTTTTCTTAAATATATACATGTATGTGTGTATTTATATATACAAAATAATTGTACACACATATATTATGTAAACACTTTTATTTTGGATGTGATTAATCGCGATTAATCGTTTCACAGCCCTATTTCACATTTTTATATTAAAATATTGAAATAGATATTGGAATTCGTAGAATTTATTTATCTATTCATTATTGTTATTGTATTGTTTTTAGATGTTTATATTATTTTAATGGTTACAAGTTAGATATTCTTTTAAATGTGTTTCTCGCCTTATGGTTTACATCTCCTGTTGAATGCACAGTGGTGTTGTACGAACATTGTTGAGTGTTAATCATTTGCTGGGTCTCCAAATGATTATGAAAAATATTGGTCAAACTGATAATTGGTCCGTCTCAAATCAAAGGTTCATTAGCTACTGTCTAAACTGAGGTAGCGATCCTGCAGAACAGCCTTTTTGGAGGTAGCTTGATATAAAATCAACCTGTTTGTCACTGTATTTGAGGAAAGCCTTCTTGTCTCCCCGTCCTGGGACATAATTAAGAGGACACGATCAATAAAAGTGCTTGCTGGGCGAACAACAAACAAACTGTTGAACTATATTGTTGAGCTATAGTAATAAACAAGATCAGTTCTGATCTGATCCAGTGTCAGTTTTGAGCAATTCCATTTTAAATTAATCAGAACGCTTGTTTGCACTTTGTGTGGCATTGCACTCGCAGCTAAAAATCAGTGTAAGGCTCCACAAGAACGTTTTATTCCCACTTTTTTGATTGCATTTCATTACAGACTTTACCCTGAGAGGCTGAGGGGATCATTTCTGAACTTAGGAGTAAGTGTCCTGACTAAATTTCCCTTTGCAGTTTATCCGGCTTTTTTACGTAAAAGGATTTCCATAAATTTTCTGGTCAATTATACACACCTGATGACATGAAATATAACAGCTGGTGCAAGCTGGCCTTCAATGATTCATTTAATTGATTAATGATTTGAGTTTGCTAAAATATCAAGTGAATGCGAGTTCCCGATCCCTATTACTAATTATAAAATACTGCATGTTTGATATTCCAGGAAAAGGGTGCCTTTTGTGGCACTCAAAGCTGATACTGGTGGCATGATGGTAACAGGGTTGATGCACAATTAAATGAGTTTAATAAAGATTAAACTTAACAAAATGTTCATTTAAATAAATTGTTTGAAACCTGAAATCACAATATCTTTGCAACCTTGTTTGTTAATAATTTCATCCTAAAACATGGATGGTCTTAGTCCTAGTCCGATAGTCAACCCTGTTATTGTGACCAGTGTTACTGAATTCAAAATATTTTCGTATATAAAACTCAGCACACCTTGAAGTGTTTTGACCTAGAGCAGAATGGCTAAACAAACATTAAAATGTCAACTCTGTTACTTTCAGGAAAAAGGTAACAGAGTTGACATTAAGTTCAATTAGCCGGGAAAGAGAATACGATGCTGATATTTATTCATTCACAAATATTTAGTGTTCAGAATCACATCAGCTGTTCACTGTGCAAAGTCACAGTAACAGGGTTGACTATTTAAATAGTCCTCTACTAATAAATTTAACGTTTTAAGGATGATGTTATTAACAAACAAGGAGTACACATAAGTCACATAAGTTTAAGTCGCATCAAATTGTTAGTAGAGGACCACCGCTGTCACTGACTTAACTGATGTGATTCTGAATTTATGAATGAATGAATGAATGAACAAATAAATGAATAAATATCAGTGTTAAAATCTCTTTCTTGTAGTCTTATGGGCTAGACCACAAATGGCTAACAGAAATTTAAAAGTTCAACTCTGTTACTTTTTTCTTTTTATACTTTCACTCTTTTTTTAAAATGTTATTTGTCAGAAGAGGGCAACCTTAAATAGTCAACCCTGGCTGTAACCATGATTTTGTTCAGTGTAACTCTACTTTCAGGAAAAAGGTAACAGATTTGAATTCAGAGTTCAATTAGAACAGAGTTCAATTAGCCAGGAAAAGGAATTTAATGCTGATATTTAGTCATTCACAAATATTTAGTGTGCAGAATCACATCAGGTGCAAAGTCACAGTAACAGGGTTGACTATTTAAATACGCCCTCCACTAAGAAATTTAACATTTTAAGGATGATGTTATTAACAAACAAGGAAAGTGCCACCTCAATTATTAATAATGTATTTAAGCATAAGTGCCACCTTGTTTAATGTCATCTTAAAATGTTGAAATTGTTAGTAGAGGACCACCGCTGTCACTGACATAATAGTTGATTCTGAATTTATGAATGAACGAACGAACGAGTAAATATCAGGGTTAACATCTCTTTCTTGTAGTCTCATTAGCTAGACCACAAATGGCTAATTGAAATTTAAAAGTTCAACTCTGTTACTTTTTTCTTTTTATACTTTCACTCTATTTTTAAAAGTGTTATTCGTCAGAAGAGGGCAACCTTATATACTCAACCCTGATTTTGATTTTGTAACCATGATTTTGTTCAGTGTAACTCTTTACTGAAGTGCGATATTAAAAAATAATAATAAATTGATACAAAAATTTGCATTAATTTCTATTTTATGTACACGAAGTTTTTTGCCAAACAAAATGTTTAATATTTCACAGAAACGCACCTTTTAATACCAGACAAGCCAGCCATTTTACAGAATTCATGTGAATTTGCAACCAAGTATTTAGTCTCCATAGGTGTTACTCCATACCTGAAATCACTGTATGGATGAATAATCCAGTTGCCAGCGGATTTGACTCGTTCCTGCTCCTTCTCCACAGCCTTTTGGCTCCCAAACATACGCAGGGAGAATTTGTTGACCCCGGGCTGTAGCATGGAGCTAAACTGCCTCTGCATGTAAGTTTGATTGTCCCTGGTTTCCCCATCATCTGCCGAGATCTGGCCATCCTCAGACTTGGGGAAGCCCACAGAATGCTCCGGCTGGTTCGGGGTCGGTCCGTGGGCAGGGGGGGCGTTGGAGAAGGAAACCCTGGAGTCCTTCTTGTCGGCGGTCGGGGCAGGAGTGACCGAGCCGTCCATGCTGGAGGTGCTGGAGTGACATGCAGATGCTGGGAAGCCTCCACCTGTCTGCTTCTCCTGCTTGGAGAGGACTGAGGACAAGCTGTCGTGTCTTCGGCAGTCTCCGTTGATAACGCATCTCATTCCGGTGCCATCCTCGCCGTCAACCCCGCTCCTGGAAACATCTCCGTGACTGAGGAGCGCGGTGGATTCCGTGCTGCGTCCACATGAGACCGAGCGCGAGTCCTTGTTGTTGGAGATCCTGCTCGTTGCTCCCCCTCCTGGTGCCACACTCTTCATCATCCTGAAGGAAGGGTCAAGGATCTCTTTGTGGTCTTCATCGCCGTCCTCGGCTTCGTCCATGGCGGGGTTGCTTTGAGATGAACCCTGACGCTGCCAGATTTCGAAAGCGTAGACGTGGGCAGTTAGTGGCTTTACTCCGCGTCCCAGTGTCACCAGACACAACTACACCAGGAGCGTTGCTATGGCTGCACGCGTTCACTCCCTTACCTGGTAACGCATCGCAAGCTTGGTGTTTCTCAGGCATCAACGAAACTGTGAAGGAAAAATTAGTGGGAAATGGGCATTATTGTGAGTTTCTTTGCGTTAAATACACAAATGTTGGTTAGTAGCATGTAGTAGCCTATGGTGGGGATGCATTATTTGCACATTTCTTAAATAAATAGAGGATGCCTGAAATAAGGATGTATGTTTGTATATTTGAAAACAATATATGGTAAAATGTCAGGTTTAAGTATTATTTTGAATCATGAATATCAGGGGTCTTATAGGTTCTATTTGACCTGAACAAAAAGTGTCGTCAAAATGTTTTGTCCTTTTTAATTTGTCATCACTTCAATGTTTTTTTTTCTTCAGGTTTTTCCAAGTAGAGTATTTCGAATGATATTCTCAAAATATCTCCACTGCCTGCAAGTAAACAATGCCAAACTACTTTAATATATATAAAATTGTAATTATTTAGAGAAGATGTTTTTCTTACCACCTAGACATTTGACAAAAGGCACCTTTAACTGAAAAAAAAAGCGTTCAGAGATGCATTAGATCTGGACGACCAAAATACATTGCTCTCCAAAGCTTTAGCGATAGTTTGGGAATATCTACATTGACTTAGTTACTATGAATAGTAATAATATGGGTGACTGACTAGTTTAAACACATGAAGGTTTAAATGAAGGCTTCTTGTCATCAACATAACAATGTGAGCTGTGTCACGTAGAGCCGCTCCCTACAACTGAAGCGAATAAATGAGTAAACGACGCCCCCTTCTGGCGGCTCAACGAACACGCGGATTAGGAAATCACTTCACATAAACAAAGCAATATTCAAAAGACAGTTAAAATCAAATCTTTATTCAGATTGTGCAAGTCAGTACATTAGACAGTGTATTTCCTACGAAGCTAAGGCAAAATAATTTATACACTTCCATTAGGTCTTAAATTTTACGTATCTCTTAATTTGGAAATGGCACATCCAGACACTATACTTCACAATGTATTACAATGCAAGTATTACGTCTATAGGAAAGTATCATTTAAGCAACGAAACAAGCCTCGACTAAAATCCCAACTTCACTGACTTAACCTAGAAATGAATAACCATGTCATTGTCCTCCATGTTAGAATTTGGGAAACAATTTATAACGGATTATCCGAGGAACACTGCACAAGCACTTGGTCCTTATGGGTTTAAATGGCAGGAGGAACCCAAAAATTCTACATCGGAAACCATCCAAGCGACTCGAAAATAAGCTTGTTAGACATTAAACGGAAAAATTGTTAGCCAGACAAAATAAAGCGTCATTTGACCATCCACATGGTACAGTGCACTTTCATATGCAGAGTGCTGCACATAAAAGTTGTTAATTTAAATTATTTGAATAATTAAAAACAGCATGTACAATAAAGTGGTTGAACATTAAGGCTTGCAAGAAGGGAAATGACTGCCAAAGAAAATGGTTGTTTCAGTACACTCATTAAATAATCATGCTGATAAACAATGATCTGATCTCACACTTGGTAGAGGTGACGGTGAAAGCCAGGAAGATGGAAAAAAAAACCCCCACATAATAAGATTTTTACTAAACACACTTCTACAGCACGGATACAATCATGCAATTTCCCCCCTTCCCCCACAGAACCACTTTAAAAACATCTGCTGGCAGCACATTACAGATACCAATAAAAGTAAAAGGAGACTAATTTATATCTCAAGACATTTACACTCAAGCAGAAGGTTAAGGAACCGCCGGGTGCACTATAATGTGCTACTCAAACCAAAATACTCTGCATGTCTTCAGCAGTAGTCATCAAGACACCTGAAACAAACAAAACCTGATTATACTTCATATCTAAAAACAAAAAAAACAAAAAAACAAAAAAAAACTATTATATATAAAAGATTTACTATGCATACACCAGAATTAGTTATATAGTGTGTGGTGAGGACCCTCTTGGAATTGCTCCATATATTATACTGTATTATTTTAAATTTGTATCTTTATATTCCATTACTGATGTTTCTCAGAAATTTAATGAAAATTAAATGACAAAATTATGTAATTTAATTATTATAAAATTATTATTATTATTCTAAAAAATATTAAATTATTTAATAAAATTACTTTAGATTTGTTTTTAAAATATCTATGACAATAATCATATTAAAATAATAATAATTGATTATTGTTTCTATGATTAAAATATTTAAAATGTAGAAAATACATTTCAGTAATTTAATTAGTTTTAATTTAATTAGTTACTACATTTATGAAGATACATATTGCATGTTAAAACTAAAATAAATTCTATATATTAAATGCAATACAGAAAATAAAAATATTACAGTTTATATTTTATAATGAATTTATGAATACGTCCATAATATAATAAAAAATTTGTTTAGATATGTACCCATTTATTGAATTTCTAAATGAACATTTGAAGAGTAATACCTTTTCTCCTCTTCTCAGTTGGAGTTTCTTTGCCGGACGTTTTTGTCTTTGTGGTTCGTAGCTGCGTTGCTCTTCCTGTAAAACACGGCGGTACGTCAGATCCCAGAGCTAGAAGCACATCGAGGGGCTACTCTAGACTTCAACATGGCTTTGAAGTTCCTTTGACTGAACTGCACAGATATCTGCACTTCAAAATCTCATCACAAATATTACAAAACACTTACAGTGGTGCAGCTCCTGAGTCATCATCTACAGGAAGCAGGACGACATGGAAAGAAAACGAAAAGAGTTAAACACTCATTTTACAAGATACTGCGTGTAAAAGACTATAGTCTACTAGTACAGTTGCAGTAGAGTAGAGTCTAAGCTCTAGTTTGGCAAACCTTAAGTTTAAAAGCAGTGTCTAATGAGTAATGTGATTCGGGACTGGTAAACCTCGTTTATATTCTTAATTTGGTTATTTCTACTGCAAAATCTGTACACGTCATCTAACCAGCTATGACTCTTTACAGTACTACTAATAATGATTCATGCAGAATGATGCATTTACATTAACCATGCAGTCTGATGTTGGATTGAAAGGATACGTTTAGTGGTTTTCAACCCAAGAACAAACGTTTCCAATCAAGTATTATTTGTTTGTAGCACAACCTCACCTACACATGTAAATGTTGAGAAAAACATGGTTCTTTTTCTGCATCAATCATGATGAAGGCTCTCAAACAGCATTAGATCACATTTGTAAACTCCTGCACTGGACTTGCACTATCAGTATCGACCAGAAACCTTCATATCGAAAAAGCACCACTGAAAAATGCCCTGCCTCTGACGCATGAAATCTGTGGAAATGACAACGGCTGTATGGACATGAAAAGAATTATATTTTGTGCGAAATCAGACACTTCATGTACCGCATAAAATTTTCAACAAATGACAAACAATAAACAAAACCATACTAAATTAAATTGTATGTACTTAAATATAGAATACACACACACACACAATAGATTTGTGATTATTTTGTTTGTTGACTAATATATTTGTGGGGAATTTATTTAATTTTTTTTTTTTTTTTACATATACGTGTACCGGTTTAAATAATACTATATTATTGTATTTTAGCTTCTTTTTTTTTTACTTCAAATTGCCCTTTAACTGCATGGATTAAATCACTATTACCATTTTATAAAGATAAAATTCAATATTGTAAATAGTACACAACATATACACATGTATACACAAATTAATTTATATATAAATAAGCCTTTTAAGGGTTAAGGTAATTCAAATTATTTTTAAAAACATAAATACAACAATATAATATTATTGATAATTTATTAATAAAAATAAAATATGCAGTTTGTGGGTATTTAAAGTCACTATAAAATAATGTTTAAAACGGATAATACATTTATTATTTTAGTTTACATTTTAATCTATATTTAATAAAGTCCATTCATTGACTGTATTTTAGGGGGTTTGAAGTCACGTGAGTAGGCTATTCATTAAAATATTACAGCTACTGGCAAGGTTGTGCTTCAGACAGTTAGACAATCAAAAAAGTAACTTTAAATAAGATGCGAGTTGACACCCAACAAACATATTCTTTTGAAACTGAATCCTAGTGTAAAAATAGATATTTTTCCAGGTTTTCATGCAGAAAACACTCAGAATGAAAAAAAAAAAAACAGTCAAGGTAAAAAAAGTTGGGATTATATATTTTGCCAGCCTTGTTGTCATATGGGTGCTGCGTCTCAGAAACAAATGAGATGCAGAGGAAGTCACTGCTTAGAATGTTGGGCTGAAGAATATCATGCAATAAGAAGATGCAGAGAGCATGCAAGGCAATATAACATGATCCGTCTGAAATGTCATTATGTTACTATGCATAATACCTTGGCATTTAAAACCCATTCTGAACTGCAATATGTCAGACTCAGCTAAACGCTTTCACTGGCTAAGGGAGAACCAATAAAAGTTGCTTTTCTTAAACCTAAGTATGAGGAATCTGGTCCATTTTATCATATGTAAGACAAACTGCCAGTGAAAGAGTTGTACTTTCCAGGCTATCAGTGAGAGCATTCAAACTCCCAAAACCACTCGTTTAAGCAAACCCACTTCAGTCTGACATGCAGTTGAGCACTTACCACAACGTAAAAGCAGCAGCGAACAGAGAAATAAACAACGAAAATCATAAAAATAGACTCAGCTAAGGCACAGCCACACACTACAGCCAAATAAAATAAACAGACAAAATCAAACTGAAAGAGAAACAGATCTTGCACAATTACGAATTCTTAAACAAAATGTAAAATTACATCCACTGATCATTTGTACATTCACAAAAACGGAAAGTGAAACAATTATGACTTAAAAACGGTTCCGTCACATACCGTCAGTGATCTCGTCAGGCTTTCTCTTCTTCTCGTAGATGAAGATGATGGTGACGAGGATGATGACCTCAGCGACAATACCGAGGAATGGCCACAGGGCGGCAAGCTGGCTGCGCACACGCAGTTGAATCTCAGCACGGGCTTCTCCAGCATCACTGGTGCCAAGGCACTCATAGGTGCCCATATCCTCTTCAATGTTCAGATCTTTCACGTACAGTGTGGTCTTGTTGGGAGTGTTTTTGATCTCATACTTGTCAGTGCCATTGATAATGGGTTCCTGTGTGTTGACACAAAACGGTCATGTTACACAGGCAAATACGAATCCAGCTGTGTGGTGTTTGTTCACAGTGCTTTAATTATTGTTAACAAGATTTAAATGAAGTATTAGCAAATGTTGAAATTAACATTAACAAAGATTAACAAATGCTGAAGTATTGTTAATTCTTAGTTAATGTTAACTAATGAACCTTATTGTTAGTGTTACCGTAATTCTATAACTAACAACTAGAAGTATATTTACTATTATTATTATTAAAGTATTGTAAAATTAAAATGTAGTAACAACACAATACCAAATGTCATAATATCCAACATCTGTGGAAAATCCATCAAGCATCAAGTTGATCTACTAGTCTTGTCATGCCATAAACAGATAGACATTACTGCTAGGTAAATCAATGGCAAGTGCGTAATGCCAAGTAACAAACTTGGCAACCTTAACCAACCTTCAAATACATGGACAGGTGCCAGTCTCATGTTATTACAACTGTTTAGTAAAGTCTTGCTTTACCTTTCCACCTTCACTGAGCTTGTACCAAGTCCAATCAGAAGGCAGGGGGTATCCATGGCTCACACATACTAGGGCAGCCTTGTCCTTCTCATTAGCATTTTCAGAGTGTTTGTAGGCCGCAACATGTGGGGGAGCTAACAGGAAGAGAATAATTATGGGTGATGAACACTAACACAAAAAATACAGCTGCAGCAACATCAAATTCTCTTACCTTTAATTTCAATGGTTTCATTAGCCGGAGGCTCTGACCGGAAGACGCATACATATAGTCCAGCATGGTGGTAATCAATCTTTTCAATGCTACCAAAGAGAAAAACAAGCAATGAGACCCACAAATCAAAACCAGAATTTAAGTTTAAACGTAAACTCAATATAACAATAAAGGTGGAGGGGAGGACAATACAGTGAAGCAAAATGAACGACAAAGTAAACAGCTTTTCCAGTACACTGCTCAACCATCCCCATGGATATTTTTCCGACCCAGCAACTCTAATGGGAATTAAGGTCAGCTAGTGTGGTGTGCCGGAGGCTTTTAAAAGAACAGAGAAGACCGAGGCAAACAGAGACGCTGCACTATATTTAATGGACCTGGATTGATGGTTAGACACAAAATGTGCAAAGCAGATTACAACCAATAGGGCAGAGTTTGAAATTTCACTCTTCTTTAGTCAGGTGAGGTTGGGGAACGTACCGGTATTCAGTGTAAGTCTCGCCACTGGTTGACTCTGATTTTTCAATGGTCTTGCCATTCCTGACCCAGTAGTGGCCTTTGATGGGAGAAGGAGGGTTGGTAATGTTGCAGCTGAGAGTTGCAGAAGTCAGATTGCTGCCCACCGTCGGACTGGTTATAATGTTTGGTTCTGTCAAAGCATAAAAGTAGAAGTTACACAACTATACTTTGCGAAAGCTTTCATACATCTTGACTGAATAATGGGGAAAAAAAATCCAGGAAACCAAGTATTCACTGCTGATTATGCTTTAAAATGCATCCACCAACCTCTGGATTCACTGTGGCACTGTAAAAAAATGACATTTTTGGACATGACGGAACAAATCGGACCACAATGTGCACCGAAAGGCAGATTGCGCACTACCAAAGGAGAAGTGAAGGTACATTTTTGCTGTGAGCTTGGGAAACATTGAGCAATTTGCAAGCAAAAACAGATGGGAAGAGGGAACAAAATTGTACCAACCAACAACTGGTTTGGATAATATGAGCTTATGAAAACCTGTTGTTGAAAAGCACAATGCAGTGTGCTAAAGCGCTCTAAAACCACCTAAAGCGTTAAGCCAGACATCTAAAGAGCCTTTTAGAAGTTTACAAAAAGCAAGCCACATTAATGTGACCTAATGAGAGCCCTTTTTCAGAAAGGCATACCAATTAGTGCGTTTTACACATTCTGACCATTGTTAACTGATCAATGCCGTTTCTTTAAAAGGTTCAACTTCATCTCACAAGCTCTAGGCACTGATATGGCATCAGATTACTATGTCAGAACAGACGGTGCTAGAGTAGAAGTCATGTGACTTGGTATGGGAGGGCGGCAAGAGAGGGTAAGGTAAGGGAGAGTCTGAATCTACGGGACTTCCTCCTCTACACTAGTGGACACACCTCGTTTCCACGGCATAACTCACGTTCAAATACTATAACGTTTGCTTGGGAGCGAATCCACTTGACTTTGGGCGGGGTCCTGAGGTCGTTGCGGTCAGGGTCGTTTGAGGCGCGGCACTCGTAAATGCCCGTGTCGTTGAGCATTAGGTTGGTAAGGACGAGCGTGCTGGTGGCATGGTGAATATAGGTGGCGTTGATGCGTACACGATCCTCTCTTGCACCGTCAAACAGCTGAGAGACAGTTTCATCTGGCTCCTCGCCCTCAATGAACCACCACTGAACTTCAGGGATGGGGTTCCCTATGACCTCACAATCCATCTCGGCACTGTCTTCTATGAGTTTCATCTGAGACAAGGGTGATTTTATGAAGCCCGCTGGACATTTGATGAGTGAATGGGTGAATTGGATTTAGAGTGGACAGTTCATTGAGATGATACGAGTTATGATTAGCAGGCAGGCAGGCAGAAAAGAAACCGTAGAGGAGAAAAGAAAGAGAGAAAATTTTAGAATGGAAGACAAAGGCAAGGCATACATAAGAAACAAATTGGATTGAGCATCATGGTGCAAGACTTCAACACTTCATGATAGCAAAACCCAAATGAAGAACATTAGAAGCATTTAAAACAGACAATGAGTTGAAGCATGCATAAAACCAAAGCTTAGCATATCAAGAAATGCAGTGAAAAATGAAATTAGAAAAATCACAAGAAATAAAGGTATGAAGTAATGGTGGTGAGTGGTGACTGATGGGGCTTAAAGGGAGACTTCACCCAACAATGACAATTCTGTTACCATTTACACACCATTATACCATTGCAAACCTCCATGACTAATGTTTCAATGACTTTTGACCAAAACAACATTGGACCCATCTAAATTTTAATGTATGGAAAAGAAATAAAAAAAATAAAAAATAGATGGGCATAGGCCAACAGGTTTGGACTGACATAAGGGTGATTTTAATTTGAGCCAAGTAGGCTATTTCTTTAAGACTTGTCATATGATTGCGGACAACCGTTATATCACTAAAGCCGTTTTATGTGTCTGAAGGGGGTTGTCGAAATTGATATGAACAGTGTAAATAAGAAATGAACCTAAAAACAACTTTTTCTTTTGAACACTGAACCATTGTGCCTTGTAGACTCAAAGCATGTACTCTGGAGAATAACAAGGTTGTCCTGTGCTAATCCCCCCATGGAGAATATCAACAGAATTCTTCTGATCACCTTGGAACAATACACACCCTGAACGACATGTACGTGCGTATCGGCTCGAAAAACAACCCTCCACATCAATGAAAAGAACACTGAGATCAGCCTCAGACCTGTAGTTGTCTCCCGCAGTGTTTTCATTATGTTTGGTTTAGAAACAAGAGGAAGGTACTGCTCCCTTTTTGTCCATTGCTGAGGGAGGAATGTTTAGTGAGTTAGCCAGGGAGGGGTAAAAAGGGTACAATGTCCACAATCCACATTACATTCAGAGCAGTGGGACTCCACACATGCCTTAAGCCTGAAATAACATGTGCCCTTTGAAAGGAGAACAGGTTTCATTCATTTGACCAATATGAAAGGTCACCAACACTAAGTGGCCCAGAGTAGACAGAATTTCAAAACTACTCATGAACAAGCTCTAAAAGGAATTTAAGCATATGTTTGTGTATGCGTTCTTAGATTTAATGTTACCATAAGACAAGCATATTGACTAAATATTTCAAGCCTAAATTGTAAATAACTCCAAACAGGGAGAACAGTAAAGTACAAATGTATGGTGCAAAGCAAAGTCTGCCACTACTAGATAATTAACTTAACCTCTTCTAATAAACAAGTCAATAAGGTCACCTTCTCACAAGCTGACATGGATTAATTGGCAGAAAAAATACTGACCCAAGGTCACTCATTTCATCATGGGTTTCTTGGCTCAATCCCCTGATTGAAAGCTGTTAAATGTGCGATATCCTTCCCTATAAAAGGTATTAAACTAACACAGCATGTCATAACTGTTTAATCAAGGCTTTTGAGATTTCTAAATGCACAAGGGACATTAAGAATAAAATGCACCATTTGCCATCAACTCAACTCATTTTGTTGGCCTCTAGGAGACTAGAAGCTAACAAATATATATATATATCTTTCCTGTAATACCATGAGACCACACAATTTAACTAAAACATGCATTAAAAAAAAAGTGTAATCTAGTTGAGGCTTTTACACCATGTTCTACTTTGTAACTTAGCTAAACATTAGTTAGCCATTGTAGATCACATCTTTATTTAGAGCAGGTTGCCTGGATTCAAACGAGCCCACACACAACATAATACGACGCAGATATCCATTGAAAATAATACTCACTGAGTGATATGACATGCTGCTTGGCTAAAGCTATAGGACAGCCGGGATTCCATTATTTGAAAATTCAACCAATATAACTGGATCTCAGGTAAGGTGGGTTTTGGGATGATGTGTAGAGACCAGTCAGTCGCTGTTTGAATGCGCTTGGATTGGAGCGATCATTAAGATTGGCAGGTCTTCATTTACTGTGCACCATAGATTAGGCGTGCACAGCTGAATCACACTTCAAGATCATCACTCATCAACCAGGATATTATTTAGGGATGCACGATATATCGGCCACATTGTCGGTATCGGCCGATATATGATCATTTTTAATGTTATCGTTATCGGCCCAACAAGAACATTTAGCCGATATCTAAAAGCCGATAAATAATGTATTATTTCCTTCAGGTGAGGCACTTTAGATGCACACTGTTCAACATGATGCTTTTAAATAGCTTTAAATACAATTGAAATCACTTTAAAAAAAAAAGAAAATCCAGTTAAAATGCAAAATGTGCAGCGCAAGTCTGTCATATCGGCTACACAACATAAAAATAGCAACAACATAATTGTCTTTGTATCTTGGCTTTTAATGAGGAGTCTTTTTTATAATCAGGCTCTCAAAAATTGTCTAAAAATGTGCATTTAGATTTATCGGCCAATATATCGGTTATCAGCTTTCAAATATAAAGAGTTATCGGTTCTCGGCATCAGCCAAAATGGTCATATCGGTGCATCCCTAATATTATTGCTTGTCATTTACAACTATTTCTATGCGTTATGGCGTTTACACTTGCAAGTGGTTCTTATGTTCAGCAAAACACTCAGACCACTTGTTTGAAGAGGTTTTTTGATTTTATAAAAAGGCTACCATGGTTCCAAATGCCATAACTTTTGAGTGCTTTGAGATCAACAGAAAAAATTTGGCGTAAATGCAGTTCACATTGTAAACAAGCCCAAACTTGATCATGACCAATAGGGCTGTCGCGGTCATGGAATTTCCCTTTCGGTAATGTTGAGTGGCTCAATAGCGCGATATGCGGTATTACCGCCATTTATTTATTTATTTAATTTATAAGTATTTGTTGCTATACAAATAAAGTTTACGATGTGGACAAAAACGAGGTCATTTAACCAATAACCGAAACTAAACAGCGTCTATATGCGCATTGAAAGCATGATTGAAAGGCTTTCACTCAGCGTGCATATTGTTATAACAACGGACTTTGAACCGTTCATTCAATGAACATGTTCAAAGAAGCTGATTCGTTAAAAGAGATGTAATGAAACAAGATGTTAATTATTTTTAACTTTGAGTTCCATTTTTTAAAGATGAACTGAACTGAAATTTGAGAAAAGGTGATAGAACAGATGTATTTTATTTATTCTCATTGGTACAATTTTTAAAATGGCAGAATTTGTTAAGGGATAAAATGGTACATTGAAAGTGTTGTTTTTGTTACACGGGCGCCGCCATGTTGGATTTCAACGTTCGACTACGTCACTGGCATGGTAAGCCACTCCGTTGCCTACCCGCACCAGCAGAACAGCCGTAGCTTGTAAACAGTCTGAGGCTAGCTGACATGGCTGAGGAAACAGATTTTTTAGCGACACACTATTTAGAGATGTGTACTTTCGTCAATGAGTACATGAAACGTCTTAAAATGCACGAAAAGTTTTATTTACACAAGTTACAAGTTCAATGCATCACGTTAACGTTACTCGAATCCTTGATATTCGGGTGAGGGGGAAAAGATCCCTGATGTATAGTTCACTGTAAAGGATGGGATTTTCTCCTTCCTAAATGCACCCTCGCCCATAGAGTGAACTGCCAGTACGCTGTTAATCTAAACAATCTGAGAAAAGTGTAACAAGTTAGCCCAGCCGTCACCTATTCGTAAAATACCCTGCTACTTATGGGGCGGTCCAGCGTCTCAGCTCGGACATCCATTAGAGACAGCATAGCCTCCTTCAACACGTTTCTCTCACCGAACAGCATCCGAAATGAACGGTGCATGGTGATGCATTTTTCGCCGATCAATAAATGTCCATGTTGACCTCTCTGCAACAGATCGTCTCCGTGCAGTGTCTATGCTCCACAGCGCTCGCGCCCACAGTCACTTTCCCCCAAACGATCCTGTACTGCAAGTGAAGCCTGAAACTGATCGTCCTCCATGTGGTGGTAGTTAGACACTACCGGCCTGTCCCTCACGGGCTCAAATGCGTAATCCATGCCGTTAAAAGCGCTCATTTTCGTCTGTGTATACAGGACCTACAGCTGTTGTCTATGGCGCTCCGCGGGTCCTACCATGCCAGTGACTTCATCGGAACTGCCAGCGCTAACAAGCGCAATTTTGCGTTGCTTAAAAAAGCTATATTAATATATATTTTTAAAAAATGTTTAGTGTAATTTACTTTTAATTGTCATAAACAACACGTTTTCAACGTCGATATTTTTCAGTTCAGTTCATCTTTAAGGCTCAGCTGATCAGCATTGCGCCGTATGGGTAACGCGGAAGCTGATGCTTCACTTATTAGAGACCCATCCTAGCATTGATTCAATGCGTGACTCTGTGATATTATTTTCCGCGGCTTCCTCGCGCTGTGGGATGTTGACCAGCGCTGCTGCTGACGCGCATTTGTGGAAAATACCCGTGACGAGGGTTAAAAAGATGATATGACAAATATTTCGCTTTCCTTTGAAACGGCAACCTTTTCACGACTTCAAAGACAGACGCAGGTAATTGCACGCGCTCTGCAGATCTCTCTCATTCACTGTCTGTGTGAAGCCTGTAGGCTACACATCACCAAGATAAACAGTCTTGTTGTTATCATTATATACTTGTTTAACATTCAATACACATGCATGAAGTTCAAAACAAGAAGAAGCCTTATAAAAAAAAAACGTGAATATCGCGGTTGCGTGCAATCCTCCGCGGTTGACTTGTCAGAAGCGCGGTACTTCAATATTGCGGTTATCGCGACAGCCCTAAATGACCAATCAGATTTACCCTCTAATAGTCTTCGAATAATAATAATAATAACAACAAAATTAATTAAATTGCATCACTTTTTTCTGGGGTTTTCTCAGTGTTGTAACATATGAACCTCCAAACATGATCAAAAACAATTTTCCTTAAATTTTGAAAGGTTTTCTGTCAAATTAAACAGTGTTATAAGCCCTAAGCCCCTTACTTTTAAGTATGCCACTTGAACTCATGTGAAATCATTGACACATTCAACATAGCGTACATTTCCCTTATAAAGCTTGAATGAAATCAGAAGTCAGTATCAGCTACAGAATCGCTAAGTCTCGCTTCAGTATAACAATGTATGGAAAAAAGGCTAATTATAATTTCTCATTAGACAAACACAGAAAAAAAAATTAAAAGGTTAGGTTTAGGGACGGGGTTGAGGTAAGTCATATATTTATATAACTTTAAGTAAACGGCGTTCATAAACACGCTGAAAGGCAATTATGCGTCTTGATAGCACGCCAAAAATGGATATACGAATTGGCGAGTCATACACACACTACTTCATGAGATCAGTCTGCAAATTTGAGATGTGGACAAACCAACAAACCAGCTAAAATCAAAGCAAACTTGAAGCCAATTGACCTTTCGCCGGCCCCTCCCACAAAATGGCCATTGTCCATGTCCAATCACACATCATAGCAACCGTTACTGTGTGAGCTGTTCCGTCAAACAGTAAGCGGTGCGCCCACGGCGTTAGTAAATCGGACACATGATACCCCGAGAGATTGTCTGGAGAAGTTGTGTTTTTTCCCTTTCCAAAGCCCAAAACACAACGCGAGCGGTGCCTAAGATGTATTAAACAGTGTGGACGCCCCAATTCCAGTTAAATGTGTCGAACATGGTTAACTCGTCTCGCGTGCAGCGTGCGTGCGACTGAGATTAGTCAAAGAAGCACGGAGAAAGCAGATCAAGAGGATCCACAAAGGACTTACTGTACATTTTCTAAAGGGTTGTTGTTAACATACCATGATATTCTCTGGGAAAATGAGCAGCAGTCAGCTAAGTTAGCAGTGCAGCACCGTAGACTACAGTTTAGAGGACGTTCGCAACGGGGAAAGCATGAAGCTTACATGACAACATCAGTTCATATATCAATATCGTAACGAATAGAAATAACCTTAAATAACGTATGGTTCTCTGCCTCTTTCCGTCTCTTATGCATAACGTTAGTTACTTTTTAAACACGAAAATCGCATTCAGCATGAGCATGACACGCAATCGGTTGCTGTGGTAATGAACAACTTGCTTGTTAAAGCGAACGTGCTACTCCTGTTATCGGAGGCAAAATGAATAAATATGCAGCGCAAGTTATATATTTCGAACTCCAAACAATTAGCCACTGAACAGTTTATAAAATCTTCAAGGCTGTGCTGGTTGCATTTGAGGTAACTTAGCATGGTTCATGGGGTTTTTCTGATTTTTCTTGAGACTGGTAAGCATTAGCATCAATAGTAGTCGTGTCTCATTCATTTCTTAATTTTATATTTGGAATAAATCCCTCCACCGCATACCGTAACCCCTTTTGCTTCGATCTTGCTTGATATCGCGGAGGTATTGCTCCAAAAAAGGTCACTGACACGCACGGGAATACCCTTTGCCGTCATGGCAATCTGTCGTGCTGCCTGTGTTTGACTATTTGTTTGACGGAGGTAGCAGCAGTAACTAAGGGGGGCGGGGCTCGGCGAAAGGCTAATTGTAGAAGGGCGATATAAACAGACTAAAGTGATCGGAAAAGTCAGACATTCTGTTCTTTTCACTGGAGTATCAAGTTATGACATTGATTTAACATGAGAAAAAAAATGAACAAAACTTGCATAGATGAATCAGTCACAACATGTAGTTCTTTAACATGATTGAACATGAACAATTTCAAGCGACTTTAAAGTAATAGTTCACTCTCATCGTTTCCTCACCCACAAGTTGTTCAAAGGGTGAGTAAACAATGACAATTTTCATTTTGACGTGAATTAATCCTCTATGGCTACTAGTGGTCTAGGAAACCCAGCGACTAGTTTTAAAAGTATACATTTTACGCCCACAGATCAGTACGAGTAATTCAAAAAAGTTGAAGGACAGGACTATCCTCACATAACCTGCTGACAAACACCTTCTCTAGGCATTTTCCAAAGTTCAAAATGGCTGCCAATAGCATACCAAGCCAAAAAACAACATAAAATACCTGCCCTTTAGCTTTAAGCCAATTTATTGAGCAGAGCTTAGGATCAAGAACTAAGTTATGACTTACGCCATCCAGTTATGTGGCCTGACGTTCTCTCATGTACTATGAGACAACGCAACAACAGTATTAGCAAATCTGTTGCTCTGGCATAAATTGTGTCATTTTGAGAAATAGTAATGCTTACGTGCAGAAAAAGCACCTCCTGAAGTGTTTAGCGCTCTATGAAGCTGATTAGGTTTCGGATTTACCGATCCTGCCATCCATCAGCTCCTGCTGCTGTTGGGGACTACAATTATAATGGTGACCATAAAACAAAATCACTCTCATTACTCTGCCATTTTTATTCATCATGCAAACCAACTGATGCATCTAAAAGGATGGGGATGCTGTTTAACATATTTAAATAAATTCTACAGTACATGATTTACAACTAAAGTCTAAACGGCTAAACTTTCATTACCGTAAGTGAGCAATGGTTGCATGTCAACAAGTTCAGTGGGATTGCATGGATTCCTGTGCCATTTCCAGTGATAGGACATTATAATGAGCTTAAGCTAAGCCTTTTGCTGAACAAGGATCGACTAAGAGATGAAAAATGCAGCCTAGAGGCCACCTTCAAGCCAAATGATTGGACGAAACATGTTTTGCCTCCCCAAGCTTTCATTATGATTAAAGGTTACACTTAACTAATGTTTTACTGTAACGCCTCCAAAACCAGCCTGCACCAGTTGTCAAAGCTGCAACATTTCGACGACTCCTGTCCTGGCAATGATTAAACGTCGACTAAGAAGCATGATACACAGAGAGATCCTCTTTAATTTGAGAAATGTGTAACGTAGAAGGCTACAACACCCTCCTAGCCTGGAGTGAAAGGTTAATTTACATGAATAAACAGAAAACCCACATGGTGTGTTTTCGTACTTTGGCTTTAATACCGTGACGTAGTGATCATTACTGTCGCTACCATCTTAACGCTTTTTTAAAATGAATTGTAAATTAATATAGAATAACAACTCATCTTTGATGACGATTTCCATCTTTTGAATTTCAGATGACTAAACGAGCATCACTGAGAAAAATAAGTATTTTACGAAAATCAGCTGTTGCTAGATGCGCGTGAGCCATTTCGCGTATGCTCGTGCGCGAGTTGGCCGACGGTTTAAACGTCTTTTTAACATTTCAAACCCTTTCAAACGTTCATAATCTATGTATTTCGCTTTACTGTAAGGTAAAATCGAAAAAAAGCAGTCGGCTTGCCGTATAGGTCGTGTTTATGTCAACACCCGGCCTGCAAAAAAAAATGAGTTCGCGAGCTTCATGATGATGATCAACAGAAAAACAAGACGCCTTACCTGTAGAAGCCTCGGCTTGGAACCAGCCGATACAAAGGGCTAAAATTGCGCCGAACAGCTTCCTTCTCATGGTGAAATGTTGTTAAATGTGTAACAGAGGGAATGTCAGGCCTGTTTCTAGAAGAAAACACAGTACTGCTGAAAGCCCTCGGTGTCGGTGAATCCTCGTCGTCCTCTACTTGTTCCGAGCGCACTCAGGAACGCGCACGTATACGGGCGAGCGGTCTTACGTCATCACGTCCGGTCCTCAACGTCATCACGTCCGGTCCTCAACGTCCTCCTTTTATACAAATTTTCTAAATTATTTCGTCATCTTTAGGTTTTCATAAAATTGCAGGCTCTGTCATTGTAACTAACCAAACACGTTTTGTAAATATAATGTTCGAAATTAATCCAAACCTGCACATTTAATGTCATTTAAATACATTTAAAATTATAGAGCTACATTTAAACTTTCACGTTGCCTACTTAACCAAATAAATGAAAACCAGAAATGTGTTTCAAAAGAGATAATCTGTGGAGGAATTAAATACTGAATACTTTATTAACTGGGAGTAGCCTACAGCCACTGCAATGGATGTTCCTCACTTTAAATATATATCTGCAAGAACTGCTAACAATAAATCAGCAACTGTTAGTCTAGTTTATACAACAGTGGTCACTGTTTAGACAGGCTTAGTGAGTGGAAGAAATCCAACATACAACAGTAGTAATCTGTTCAGATTCATATGGAATATCAGAATAAGATATGGGCCTAGCAGAAGTAGGCCGACTACAAAGTTTGTAGAATCTGCCAAATGAGAATTAGAGTATTGTTTTAAGGGAAACAAGGACGTGGACATACATCACAAAAATCAGGGCATCATGCTTTATCTTTATTATTTAATCATTTCTTAAATAACCAAACTTTAACAACATAAGCCCTGGGGCAATACCATGAAGCTGGTTTAGGTGGCTAGCCAGCTATGTTTCAGTTTAGTTTGTTCCAATGGGTTTTAGGCACCATGAAAGTGGTTTGGCTTTTAGCATATTCATAGTAACTTACGCTCCACAGCTAACCTGGTTCAGGGCAGGTTATGTCAGGTAAGAGGTTGCAAAACGAACTTGGACCAATCAGCTGTGAGCAAAGTGAGACATGTCCGACACAAAAAAGTAACCTCACCTGTTTCTTCTCCAAATTAAAGGTCACTACATAGCAAATAATTTTTAAAGACAAAATCATCTGGCTTTTAGTAATGTCTAATAAGAATAATACATTTGTATGATTTAGAAACTATTTATGCAATTATTATACAATCTCACATGTACAATTTCAGTTCATCAATTATTAAAGGTAAAATACGCTTTAGAATCAATAAATGAAGCTATAGATCCTTTGAATGAAGTGAAGCTCGAGAGATCAAGAATTTAATATACAAATACAGGGGTTTCCTGTTTACAAACATTACAGGGTGTGTGCGCATGCATACCAGAGGCTGAAAGCCAAATTGGTGAGCTGGACCGCTACAGCAACAACCTTAAAGTATAGAAGCTTTCTTTTATTTTGTGTATTGTTTTGTTTTGTTTGTATATAACTGCTGTGCTTTACTCAATACAATGTGATTTTAGGCGGAATTTCTGATTGTCTGTCTTTAATTTTGCAGCATTACTGTGAATAATAAGTAATGCAAACTTACACACAAACAGAGATGTATAAAGTACTAGAAACCTGGACTTGAGTAATGGTACAAGTGCTCTATCAAAAAAAGTGACTTGAGTAGAAGTTGAAGTGCTCTTTAAGCACCACACTTAAAAAGTACTAAACTATTCAACATTTTTTAAGTATTGCAAGTAGTTTATTTTAAAATTCGCTACTCAAGTACTAAAAGTAAAAGTACAAGTATTGTGTCACGTACTTTGTAGTTATTAAAGAAAGCAGTCAAAAGTTTGAACATCATATTGTTTTTAATTTTAAATGATTAACCTAAAGGACACCCACAACTCCTTTGGCTGGAGCAGCAGTAACAGGACTGAAGCGAACACAAATTTCTGTTTAGGGGGGCTGAAGCCGTATCAGTGAAAGTTCTTTCACAAATCTATGCGAATCCTCAAGCTTTTTAAAGTGGGCATTCGGAGATCTTTGACATTTCCTAGTGGGCATACAGAAATCCTTGACATTTTCTAGTGGGTATACGGCGTGCGTACTTATCCCATAGACCACACCACTGATGTAGGCTACGTTGTGTGGAATGTCATTGGATTTATAAAGTCTGTTAACCTTCATTATAAGCGATCGTCAGAAAATTTGGACTAAACAGCTTCATTTATACGACCTCTTTATGAACTTATAAAAATAGCTATACAGTTCACAATACATTTTATGGAATAAGTGTTAAGTTCAGATTTAATATTACCATATGGTAGCTCTATTCTATAGTAGCCTATAATTATTAACAATAATAATAGCCTAAAAATACAATTGGCTTTATGCACAGCTGCACTACTTCCTGAATTTAAGCCAGCTCCTTGTTTCCTGTCTGCCATTATTGGACAAATTGATTAATTCAGGTGTGTCTGACCTCAGTAGTCATGGCAACAATAATCAGACACACCTGAATTAATCAAGTTTGGCCAATAATGGCAGACAGGAAACAAGGAGCTGGCTGAAGTTCCAGGAAGTAAAAAAAGCCAATTGCATAAAGCCAATTGAGTATATTGAGTATGAGTGTAATAGCAAAGTCATTCCCTTCAAGTGAGGCTTGTGTCACTCATTATATAAAGTATATTTTATTAAATATGTATTTTATACAGAAGTAAAATTAAAAATGCGAATAATAAATTGTTAATTTTTACTTAAATCTTTTTGAACACAACTTTCAAACAGAATCACTAATGTCCTATTTATCGAAATAAAATAAAAAGTATGCTTACACAGTTGTTGTGTTATTTCACTTAATACGCATTACTAACATTCATTAGTATTATACTTAAAAAAAAACATATTTTGGCACAAAATTGTAACAAACAACAGCAATGATGCAACATGCTTAAGTGATATAAGAACGTTGTTTGCACTTCCTATAATTATCCTGAATGACTATATGCAAGATTATTAAAGAAATAGAACAGACTTAAGAATCTTAAGATGCCTTATGTGGTGGTTATCTAGAGATAATCTAGTTGATAATAAATAGTACAAGCTTACACACAAATACAATATTAAATCAGCTACAAAGGGAGATAAAACTCTAGTAGCACTTTATAAGATTGTCCTAAAAAGGACCAACATCATCCAGATAGTCGTCTGCAAAGTTGAGCATCTGCTGTATCGCCGTGAGAAGCAGGACGTCACAATTGAGCTCCAGCTCCAGCTCCTGACTGTAGTTCTTCACCGGTAACACACAAGACACCGGCACACCCAATCGAGAGCTCACCTCCTGCACCTGCACAGACAAAACAACTTGTCATTACATCTATACATTTAGCAGACATTTCAATTCAAAGCGACTATAGCATGAGGAATTTATCCGACAATATTCGTAGTATGCCAGGTTTAAGAGAGGTTCTGAACGAAAAGTCCATGTGATCGGGTGATTATGCCTCACCTTTGTCTTGATGTAAGAAGTTATATAAATATTTTGAAGATCTTCCTCCACATCAGGACATGCTTCATCTACTTTTGTCATCAAAACCATCTGGGGAATGCCTTAAAAAAATGTGTAAATAACCATTAGTTAGTCTTAGAACATTTGGCATAGGACAAGTAACTTAATATAAGATAAATGACTTACCCAGTGTGTTCACTTTTCTGCGTATGGCAGCAAGTTTTTCCTCTAGTTTGCTGGACATGAGGGAGATTTTGGTGGCGTCGATCACATACACCACACAGTGGATCTTCTCTTGCAGAGATGCAGGTCTGGAAGACTTTTGCTCATCCGGTTGAAACGGTGTTGTGGGGTTGAACTGAATCAAGAGGATTTGGAGTGAAATAAACATTGTCATTAATACTTCACTGTAAAAAACATTTTCAAGATTTGTTATCACAACATATTTTCTTTTGTCAAATCAACTTTATAATAATTTATTTAGTTGAGATAACTTATTATTTTGAGCTTCTGATGGTTAAATTAATCTACTTCATTGTATTAACTCACTTTTTCCAGTTCAATCAACTTAAAATTAAGGCAACCCAGGTTACTTACTTTTTTAAGTTAAACCAACATTATTTTTTTACAGTGTAGTAATCACAACATTGTTTTTTCTTTTGTCAAATCAACTTAAATAATTTATTTAGTTCAGATAACATATAATTTTGAGTTTCTGGTGGTTACATTAATCTCCTTCATTGTATTAACTCACTTTTTCCAGTTCAATGAACTTAAAATTTTAAGGCAACCAGGTTACTTACTTTTTTAAGTTAAACCAACAATATTTTTTTACAGTGTTGATTCTGGAGAACAGTGTACTTACTTTATAGCGGTCTGGTACGTGACCTTGAAGAATGCTGCTGATGTCATCAATATCCAGTCCTGCACCCGATTGCTCCTCGAGTCCCATGGTGTCACACAACACAAATGGCAACGGCTTTCCCTCACGGCCGTCTTTCACTGTGTATGTGCGAAACTACCAACCCAGAAGAGAAACACATCAAGACCTGAAGTCTGTTCTCGACCTGAAGAGACACTTCTGTAGGAAACACTGAATCTGTTGAATCTGTACCTGTGTGGTGAGACTAGTGCCGGCAGATCCTGACATGGCTTTGCTGGTCATGCGGCCCATGAAGACGGAGTTGATGGAGTTGAAGAAACTGGATTTTCCAGCACCTACAGGACCGATCATTAGGATTCTGACCCGACTTACAGACGGCATCATGGGTTTATAACTCCTGATCATTTTCATGAGCTCGTCTCTTTGTCTACGAGAGATCACAACTTTATTATAACAGAACTGTATGAAATCAGCAGCAAAACAACATTGAGTGAAAACTTACTTTTCTGTCCACTGAACATTCCTCCACGGCTTCACCTTGGCACTGATCTGAGGATCTTTTTCAGAGGAAGTTTTATAATATAACTTACTTTCACCATAACATTAACAGCAGTACATTTTAAGATACTGGACTCTGAATTTCTATAATTTACTCTACACAACTATACTGAACTATACTGTCAAATAGAATAAAATGTATAAACATTTTTTTCTGATAGTTGACTTACTCTGTTCCACTTTGTACACCTCACATTCATTCAGCTGAGTGTCATTCCCATACAGTGTGGCAGGATTAAAATCGAATGGATTATCCCCCACTTCATATCCACCATATACATTCTGTTTTAGATTATACGCAGCTGATTGTTTTTTGTTGCCAAATAAAAACGTATTCCCTTGCGGTGAGGCACGATTAAAACTGAATGAACTAACCCCCACTCCATATCCACCATATACATCCCGTCTTTGATTATACACAGCTGGTTGGCTGTTGTAGCAAAAGTACAACTGTTGACCAAAGTTGGGTGCTCCAGCATCATCATAACGTGCATACTGTCCACTGTTAACTTTGATGCACACAGGGATCGTGCCCTGAAAGTTGAACAGGAAAGCTTCCTCATCTGTAATTTGCACTCCACTTTGAGTATAATCTACACTAGTGTATCCACCAAAGATGTAGCCTGATCTGTTATAGGCTACAAGTAAAGTGGGACCCTGACGGTCACATCGCTGATGGAAGGCAGAAGCAGTATATCCATGAACAGAAGCTTTGTAGAGAAGAGTCAGTTCAGCATTCCCCAGCAAACCACAGAGCTGCTTTCTTTGCTCTTCTGATAAGCTAAAAGTGAGTGGAGCGCTGTGAGTAAAGCCGGATCCTCCGAAAATAAACGTCATCTAAAAAGAAAAAGGATATATGATTTGAGTTCTTTGTAATAGGCACACAGACACAAGCAGTCAGATGATTTGTGTTGTGAAAGCCCCATACGAACTAACCGACTAAACTGACTTTTTCGCTCTTCTGTTAATTTAGTGAGGAGTTCAAGCTTAGATTTCCCAGCATTTTGTTCATCTTTAAGACAAGACAAAAAGACATAGAACTTACAGATCTTTTATGTATATCTTACAGATTTCATTTACTATTTTGTTGTTGATTCTTTATAGACCATTTTGCAAGATGTAAACAACACTGGTCCAGAAGCACTTCCTGTTTCAGTTTTTCACACGTAAGTTTAAAATATTCTAACTGACCCCCCAGCGTGAGTTTTTCAAGGCGACCGTTATTTAGAACTTGCCACTTTAATGTTTCCATGGTGACGCGTCATTGCTTGTCACGTGACACAGCACAACCAGAACAGAGCGCGGAATGAATGACGATCTGCTTTTATGTCATTTTTCCTTTTTTATTAAAAATATTCAAAAATGTATTAGCTATATCATGAAACACTGATATTCCGATTGTCAAATATGTGCAAGTGGATGGGTTTTGTTGTTTAGACATCTTTATAACGATCGCGTTAGTTGAGCTGTATGCACAACGGGCGGCGCCATTTTAGTTTCGTTTTCAGTTCAGAGAATCGGATCTGTTGGATTTATAACGTCAATTCATCAACTTCTCACGAAATACATGATAGTAAGTGGCTGGTGAACTGGGAGAAGAATAGGATCAAATGTTAAGCTACTTACACAATGTGTATCTGATATGAATAAAACGTGTCGTTATTATAATTGAAAGGATTATTATTGCCGCTTCCATAGACATCTGTGTGCATTTTACAAACTCAAAATCATTGTTTTGCTAGTAGTACATATGTGTATTTAAATGTCTGAAACCTAAAATAAACATTATGTGGTTGAAAACACTCAATAGTTGTGATATATGACAGCACTGAGTGCGTCTGTCTCTGGCTGAGCGCCAGCCAACGCGCGAGAGCAAGTTTGAATTTAGCAGTTGCTGACGTGTGCACTGAACGTTCTAATCACACCGGTGTGATCGTACGCTCCAGGGACCAGCCAAGACTGATCACACCGGTGTGATCGTACGCGTGAAAGGGTTAACACTACATAAAAGCTGGGATAAAATACAACCAACAGAACATGTAAAACTGAATTAAAAAGTTAAACAACATCTTTAAGATGTTTTCTTTACATGTGAAATAAAGAAAACAGTTACAAACTAATACAGGAAGTGTTTCTGGACCAGTGTTGTTTACATCTAGCAAAATGGTCTTTGGTTTTTTCAATGTATTGTTATCTTTACAAATACATGAAAGCCAGCAGTAGCCTATTGGCTGAATTAAAGCTGCAATACCTAAGATTTAGATGCCGCTAGAGGGCGCTACATTCAAAACAACAACAACGGCTTTGCTTGATGACGACGTGGAGGAACGCGGAATGATGGGAACTGTTGTTTTCAACTCCAACGTGGATAAGTCAGTCAGACAGGAATCGAAAATTAGTTGTCATGGATGAGGTAAAGTTCGATTTCTATAAATGTTGCGTTCTTGTTTTTCCTTAAACTGAAATAACCGCAAGAGAAGTCAGGTTTAAAAGTAAATTAGTTATCACAGATGTTACTGTGGAGAGGGTTTGAAGGGGCAGGTCTCTTGCAAGGAGTTGACGTGGCTGGTCCTCCTTTTTGGTAACTTTATAAAAATAAAAAATCATGTACATTTGACACATCTTTTCATGTCGTGTAAGTATTCAACAACCACAGCTACAGTTACACAAAATTAACGTTAAGGGGGTCGCACACCGGACGAGAAGCTCAGCACCGCGTCGCGCCACATATTTAAAATTCGAACACATTATTATCTATAAGTGTACACTTACCGGCGGCGCCATGCGGCGTCTGTCCGTGGCACCCAGCAACGCCCCAGGGCCGTGTTCAAAATCCTGCTGCGCCACAGAGCGCCATTTACATAGTTTTGTATAAAATTTTAATTATTTTTGTCTCAAATCGTTGCTAATGGATCCTGACTTCGCCCTATGCTTCAATATGCATTTAGTTTTGCATTCATTTACAGAAATCAGCTGCTTGAATGACAATTGCTGATGTTATTAGATTTTTCAGGTGAGATTCTCAATCCATTCAGTCAACGGATGATCTGAGGTAAAGTTTTCAGAATGCAGACTCAGCAACGATTGTATTTAATTGTACAGTACAATCATAACATAGAACAGACATTATCTTCCTTTCATGTCATTAAACATAACAATATTGCTGGCCATACACTGATGAGAAAGTGCGCGTCCGGTGTTTGATACTGTGGAGTTGTCCTAAACGTGGCGCGGCGCTTCTCGTCCGGGTTGCGACCCCCTTTACAGCCAACAGTTCACATTCCGAGAATAAATGAAAAGAATAATTGTGCTCCACAACAAATGCGCGAAACAAGCTTACATTTGTTGCTTGATAGACGCTAATGCACAACTACAACTACTGCATTTGTCCAGGACTACACGTAGTATGAGCGGAAACCGAGGTAAGCGGATATGACGCGATTGACAGCTCACCCCTGCTCACACGCCCCGTTTCCTTGATTAAAATCTTAATTTTCTCGCGATTTAAACATTATATGAAACATTTGGAATATTGTAAGTTATCATCTTAACTAAATATATAACACTGGCTTTGTGATTTTGGTATATTTTAATGCAAAAATCTTAGGTATTCCACCTTTAATAATCCTTAATAAAATTCTAGTTGTGCTTTCAGATATTTACACTCATAGAAGTAACCACTTTTTAATTAATTTTAATTTTAAGTAACCACAACTGTTAATTCAGACAAACAGTAAACAAATCGTTTATTAGTGCACGTCAACATAACCGAAAACATTTTCAACACAAGATGTTTACTTAAACAGTATTTTATAACGTGGTATCGCAGATGGAGCTCAGGGTGGAGTCACATGGACAAGCCTTATCACTGTGAGCAGTGTTTGCACAAGGTTTCTGTGAGAAACTAGAACGTTTCACTAGAAATGAAACTGAAACCAGCTCAACAAAGAATGACTGAATGGACAAATTAACTTTTATTTAATCACTGCAATATAATAACTGTTTGTTCAAAGCTAAGGCTGCATTTTATTAAAAAAAATTTAAAAAATTGTCATTGTTACAGTGTAATTATATATTTAATACTGAGTAATTTTAAGCAACTACATATACTTTAGGGTATAGGATAAGGATTTGGTTGAGGGTTAGTTGCATGTAATTATGCATAATTTACTGTTATTAATATAATTACATAAGGTAACAAGGACACTGTAAAATAAAGTGTTAAAAAAATTAAATAGTTATTTATATTTGAGAAACTACTTTCATGTTTGAAAATGATAGCATTACTTAGACTTGTTTTAGATTGGCCTAGAGAACATTACAATTTTTGATATTCATGATTTATGATAGGCTATATTCTATGAAGCTTACCTTTTAGCTGTATATTTGTGCATCAAACACTGAAATGCTCTTCGTTCAATATACACCAGTATGAAAAAAAGCATCTGAAGCTCCTCCTATAAAACACCCATCTGCTCTTTATTTTCCCTGGCCTTTCCTATAGTGTAACAGGCTACTCCAGAAAACAGCAGGAATTATCTTTGGGCACATAGTATGTCCGTCTGTCCCTCTTAAAATGGTATAATGTGCATTGATTAGGTCATCAATTGATTATTGTAGAATAATAAATGGCTCAGCACCAACCTCACTGCTTACAAAGATAGAGGTGATTCAAAAACAAGCTCTCAGAATATGTTGTGGAGCTTCTCCTGTGACAGATTTGCAGAAATGGGTAAAAAGGCACTTTACATTAGTGAAATTCAGCTAAAAATGGTATACTGGACTGGCATTAAAGGTCATTTTACAATTTTTTCTGTAAAATGATTTGTATCTTCATAACTCATGAGTTCTGACTTAGATGGATGTACAAGAAGGTCAAAAATAAGCAAACATTGATGCTCTTTAGTTCCAGACATAGGGGATAATACTAACAGTGGGAAATTCGAAATCAAAACAAATGAAAGTAGCCTACATTAAAAAAGTTCCCATGGGTAAGATGGTGATTAAGCAGCAACTTAAACTTTAGTCTGCTCATCACACAAAGGTAACATTTAACATCAGAACACTCTAACTTTGCATTAGTCATGTTTTTGTCATGTTTGAACCTTGACAGACATCATCCGTCCATTTCCTGTCAGTGTAATAGCACCAAATAGATTCTGCTAAACTTCTCCCTTTTTCCGCCGTAAATAAAAGTTATACAGGCTTTTAACGACATGACGGTGAGCAAATTATGACCGAATTGCAATTTTTTGGTAAAATATTCCTTATTAACAGATGACAATGACAACTGTTTCGAAAGTTTACACAGAAGAGGTTGTAAACTGTAAATCCACTTCAGCAGAGAATGTTCTCTGAGTTTGAATCCATCCTAATCAAAGAGTGTCCAACTGAGCTCATTGTTCGTTTGTTCCGTTATTTATACAGGGAATGTTCCTTTCTAAATATACATCTGGAGATATTCCCATGGGAACTTGTTAGAACAGATACCTTTGGTTTATTTTGTAGGCTATAAGCCAAATTTGTATATCATTTTTGAGACCCTGATAACAAAAACAATATTCTCAGTATTAAAAGGCACGTCTCAAATAGACAACCCATACTCATCCCAAGGCCTGATATACTGACGCTTTTGCCAAAGCATAGACATCCAACGCACATGGCACCCTTTAGCATCAAATGAGACGCTTCGGTTATGGGTAGGGTTAGGGTTAGACCACTAGGAGGCGCCTTCTGCCCCATATATATCTGCGTCTCATTTGACGCTAAAAGGGTGCCATGTGTGTTGAATGTCTACGCTTTGGCAAAAGCGTCAGTATATGACACCTTGGGATGAGAACGGGCTTAAATAAACAATTATAATGTTCTCATCATAATTTTATGTAGCCTATATGACAGACTTGCGCTGAACATGTTGCACTTTCCCTTTTTTGAAAGGATTTCAATCCTATTTCAAGCAATTCTTAACCATTATGGCAAACAATCTGAAGTATCTAAGCTGAAGGAAATAATCCATTATTTATCAGCTTTAATATATTGGAAAAATGTTCAGGTAGATAACAATAACATTTAAATTGAACATATATCGGCCGATACTGATATGTTGGCCTATATATAATGCATCCCTAGTTTAAAAGAAAAAAACAAACATTTGACCTTCTTGTAGATCCTCAAAATTTTCCAGGGTGAGGGTGCAATAAAACCTTTCTTCTGCTGAACACAAAGGAAGATGTTTTGTAGAACGATTGGAACCAAACAGGTGTTTGGCACCATTGACTTCCAAAGTATTTTTTTTTTTCCTACTATGGAAGTCAATGGTGCCAAACGACTGTTTGGTTCCAATCGTTTTTTTAAAATAAGGGTGGAGTATCCATTTAAAAAAGCTTGAAAGCTGATTTGATCGAAGGCCTGTCACTAGGAATTTAAATCTGAATATAATTAGTCCATCCATTACCAGGCGAGAATTAGCATTTTAGCATTAGCATGTTTTTGTTTTTTTTTTTTTGGTTAAAATAAAGTCCGTATTTAACATTCACATTAAACAGACTTTTACATTTTGTTCTACAACATAACAGCCATTACAGTAAGATTTATGTACTGTAAATGTTGTTAGAAAGAAAGAAAGTCAAACAGCTGGTTTGGTTATGCGGCCTCCATGTTTTGTCCATAGGCTATCAGTCTTCTAGAGAGAACACAACAACGGCCGTCGGACCTACAAGGTACATTCACATTAAAGCTGGCCTAAAAATACAGTTAAATTACACAGATTTGAGTAGGCTACAGAAATATTCAACAACTACAGAAATAACGTCTTCTTATAAAAATACTCTTTTAGGTCTATGTTTTAATGTATAGTTTTGATGGATATTTGAATTTTGATTACATATTCCGACCAGCAGGTGACGCAATTGCTCAAATGTTTTTCAAAACCAACGATGTCTTTAGCAATGATGGTCTTTTAGGGGGGTGCAATACTCGATAACAACAAATAATACATTTGAGAATTGGCTGGTCTGAGCTGGTTTAAGCTGGTGGTCAGTTGGTTTTCAGCAGGTCTCCCAGTTCAAAACCCCTGTAAAAGCATAAGCCTACCAGCTTAGGCTAGTTTTAGCTCTTTTTTTCCCTAACTGGAAAGTTTATGGAGACCTAGATGACAGAACAACATATTGCACATGATGCAGTTTTACGAGATCTCGTAATATATAAAACACATCCAATTCCACTCTTATTTTTCTAAGTCAGTCAGTAAATGAAAAATAATGAGTTTAGTTAGATGTATTTCTAGGGACACCCTCTACATCTGCATTTTTAGCTTTATACTTAAGTGTTTTGTCATATTTAAAGGAATCCTTGGGGCTTTCGGGCAAGAAAGGCAATAAATCTATTCTTGGATCCATTCTCCAAGTTCCTAAAGCATGATCCCATGTGGGCTGTAGAAATAATGATTTAATAGCCCGTAGAGACATATCTGTGAGATATCAATCCAAACCCTGTGGCTGTCGGGCTTGTGCGCTACCTTTTGAAATGCCTCCAGTTGACAGGAACAGATCACAATCTCGAGGAGTAAGTAGGAGTTTCCACATAATTGTCCCTCAGCCAATCACGGCTCCCCGGACCACTCGCCTGACTGCGATTTTAGATATCATTTTTAGGGTGTGCGCTCTTTGCGATTATGACCTACAGTAACACTAGGAGCAAAACATAAAACATTCAGAAATAGTTCGAGTTGTACTATTAAGTAAACAATACCCCATTAAATATATAACAAGTGTGATTTAGTTGCCAGATTGCTGGCTAAATCATAATGAAGGATTAACTATTGATAATGGGGAAAAAAATGAGGGGGAAAAGGGGTTTACTTGTGCAGCACACCATTCATAGTATTTTGAAGTCATATTTCTGTTAACAAGGTTGTTCAGTTCATGAAGTCTTCAGTTCCCCAGGCCCATTGGGTGAGTTTTATCTGATGTGTGTGGGAGCGATGACTGGAGGAATCTGACAGCACAGACGCTGCTATGTTTGCGCTCATTAACTCAGCTATTGTATCCACTGTTCCACGTGCGACACCCCCACGTCTGTCTCAGTGTCTGGAGAGAACTGACAGCTATTCAGGACTACAGAAATGACAGTTTGCAATAGTTGTTACTCTCATTGTGCATTATTTTTTTTATCTGTTTATGTATCTGGTTGGTTGGTTTGGTTGATTGGTTTTTATGGTTGGTTGGCTGGTTAGTTTGGTTGATTGTTTTTATGGTTGGTTGGTTGGGTTGGTTTGGTTGGGTTGGTTGGTTTGGTTGGTTGGCCTTTTTGGTTGGTTGGTTGGTTGGTTGGTTGGTTTGGTTGATTCGTTGATTTGGTTGGTTGGTTGGTTTGGTTTGGTTGATTGGTTTTTATGGTTGGTTGGTTTGGTTGATTGTTTTTATGGTTGGTTTGGTTGATTGGTTTTTATGGTTGGTTTGGTTGATTGGTTTTTATGGTTGGTTGGTTGATTGTTTTTATGGCTGTTTGGTTGGTTGTTTTGTTTTTTTGTTTTTGTCTGGATGGTTGAATTGGTTTGGTTGGTTAATTTGGTCAGTTGTTTTCAGTATCACATGATTCTTCAGAAATCATTCTGATATGCTGCTTTGGTTCACAAGAAACACTTCTTATCAGTGTTGAAAAAAGTTTAACAATTTTTTCTAGATTATTTGATTAAAAAAACATTTATGAGAAATAGAAATGCTTTGTAACATTATAAATGTTTTGACATGTAATTTTTGATCAATTAAAAAATATATGTATTACTGACCCCACACTTTTGAATGGTATGTCCATTCATTGTTTTTTAGTGAGATAGATATGGATGGAGAAAGAAGTAGTTCCCGTTAAGTTTATGGACATTTTGCTTTAACCCTGAACACGACACAATACAACGTTTAATTTAAAATACGGTGAAAATCAATAACAGTACATTTGTCCTTTTTTTTAGACCTAGTCCAAAAGTAGGACCTGGATCCTACTTTTGGACTACCTTTCACATTTGAGTTATCTGTAAGAGCTGTTGATATTTCATGTACACCTGTTTGTCTGATTTTAAACATGTCCAGATAATGTGAAAGACAGAGCAGGAAAAACACTCTTCCCCAGGCCAAAACGTCAGACTGGAACTTCTACGAATCCTGAGTCACGCGCTAGTTTAGGTTTGAATAACTGGAATTCGTCATTAACACCCATTTGCAGGCGTCATACATCAGACAGAACAGTAATATAACTGTGAATGTGAGCTATCCACACCAGCTGGGAACATTGCTTCACACGAGGCGAAGAAACACCAGGTTCCTAATAAAAAAAATCCTGACATCGTTTACTCATCCTTGTGTCTTTTTGATCTTTCTTTCTTCCAAGGAACACAACAGGAGTTATAGCAGACTGCTTTTTTACGTAAAATGAA